TTAATGCAGTGATTCAACCAGTGTCTAAATCAGTATTTATATATTTGAATAATTACACATTTCTATTTCCTTCCTTCACTGCATTAAGAGAGAATGATAGAGCAGAATAATTAGTTTGTACTGTAACATTTTATAAACGCATAAAGGAAATGGATGTAGTGTGGTGGAAGTCTGGGTGGCCAGGTAAGGGCTTTCCAGACCGAGAGGTATTTTATCTGGATGTTGAAGAATGAATAGGAGTTATTCAGACAATGGGGGTAGGGGGTGGGCAGTGGGGAGGAAGAAGGCCTAGACACAGTCAACTGGGAATAGTAATAGAAAAAGTGTGAAGAATACAAATATTGGCTTGTTTATCCATCTTGTTCATCTGTTACTCTTAGAAAAGTTAAACCTCCCATCACTTCCCTTTTCTGATAATTTTTGTGTAATATACCAGCAACATTATGAAAACAAGAAAACTGAAACAAATACCCCCGCAAAACAGCATCCTAATGTACCGAGTGCTTTCCTTTTTCTTTGTTTTCTCAATCATTTATACAGAATTCCATCAAACTTTTTAAATAACCAGTTACTATTATTAAAAGTTTCATTAGTTTCTTTTTTAATGTTTACTACTGTTCATTTCACTTCAATATCTAGGACTTTTACTATTGTGTTTATATATTTTTAATTTAATAAGATTCAAGGATACACTCATGAGAGACAGTTTAAAGTTACAAAGTTTTTACATATGTAGACTTTGAATAAAATAACTGGATTTGAATCACAGCACTGTCACTATTATCTTTGTTACCCTATGTAATTTATTGAACTCTGTCCAAATTTTGTTTTTTGGGTTTTTTTCCCCCCTGCTAAATGGAGATTAACAGTAATTGCTTCATGTTTATTATCATGAAAATTAAATGAAATACATATAAAACAGTGAGCCCAGTGCCAAGCTACGAATGTTGGTTATCATTATTAATGTTCATTAACCTATTAACTCTTATATAATGTAAATAACTATATATAATAAAATGTATTCTTAGCCAGAATTTTTCTTTCTCATTGAGGAACAAAAATACTAGTTTCTTTCTTTACTCTAGCCTTTTTATGTTTATCTTTCAGTAAGTATCTTGCACAATCACTGTGCTATAAAATTGTTTCCATTAATTTGTTTAATTTGCTGAATGCCCACTTTGTCTTGAACACTGGCCTAGGCACTTAGGAAGCTTATGGTCTGGAGGGGAAACAGATGGATAAGCATAGAATGACAATGCAGTATGATAATGACTTCCAACAAGGGCCACACAAGGCTCTGCAGGACTCAGAACCCAAATGCCTCCCTGTGGTTCAGTAGGTCATGAATATTCTGGCCCCAGACCGTTTCTCAAACCACTTCCACTGAGCACCACCCTAACTCCACCTCCTCTTTCTTGTTTTTCCCTAGCTACACAAGCTTTCTTCTGATTCCCATGCTCCTGTTTTGTCTCAAGCTCTGGCACATGCTCCTCTTGCTGCCAGGAACCCCTCCCCCATTCTCACATATTGCCTTCTTCTCATCCTTCATCTTAACTTAAATGTCATTTCCCCAGAGAGCTCCCATGCCATCCACTGGCCTGTTGCCCTAAATTTTCTCCACTCTGTCACCCTGATTTTATTTCTTCTCAGGATCCTTCAGGTATGTACTTGTATATTACCCTCTTTAAGCTGTAAGCTTCATGAAAGCAGTTGAGGACACTGAGACACAGAGATGAAAGCAGAGACCATGATTTGCATTCGTCACTCTTCATACAACACTGTTCATACAACTATTCGCACAACTTCATAAAATACATATGCAATAGGTGAACGTCAAGGAAGGTCCTAGATGGGTTAATCCAAATAGTTGAGGAAGAGTTCACCAAGGAGACAAGGAGAAAATAATGGTTTAAATATCGCAATTTGAATGCAAGCACACACATTTGAGAGACATTCATATATGGGTTCAAATCCAAGCCTTGCTACTTACCAGCTACGTGTACTTGGGAGGATCATCTTGATTTTATGGTCCACATCATCTTTATTTGGGTAATAGAGGTAATAACATCTAATTGTGCAGTAGTGTGAGGAGTAGAACTAAGATGTCAAGGTATGTAGAATATAAAAATAAACAGTCTCATTGTCTGTTTATTCAGATGTGATCAGGAGAATTAGAAACTGAGTACACTGAAAATGTTTTGGCACAGTTGCTCCTCACGTCTCAGTCTGAGAGTGAGAGACAGTGGCCTGACGTGAAACACTGAACTGCTGTGTGGAAAATGGAATTGTTGCAAAGTCTTTGGAAGTACAAAGTGCCTACAGCAAGTTTTGAAGGTCAAAAACGTACACAGTATCCAGAGGATGTAAAAATAATGTTCTACATGCTGTATTGTTTTTACATGCTGTATTACTTTTACATGCTGTACATATAGTAGCTCATTTAGTCCTAACAACCGCACTGTGTGTTATTTCCTTGATTCTACAGATGAGGATACAGACACAGAGATGTTAAGAAACTTGCTCAACATCACAGAGCTAGTAAATGACAGAACTGACTGTTCAGGTTGCCCTGAACAGCACTTTACATGCACTCTTTACTGCCTGGGTGTAGCAGGAAGCCCTGTGGAATGGGAATATGACATATATAGTTTCAAATACTTCCTCCAGCGCTTACTAGTTTTATGGTCTTGGTCAAGTTTTTTAATCTTTCTGAGCCTCTGCTTCCTCATTAGAAAGATAGAAAATAATGACATCTACTTTGAAAGGGTTTGTGACATTTAAATGAGCTATCATATGTAAGGTGCCAAGCTTGTAGCCACTGTTCAGTAGAAGGGGGCTAATGTGACTACTAACATTAGTACTAAAATGCACTTGTTGGTCTTGACATGGTTGAGATTTTACAAGCCTTGACGGCTTTTAATTGAGAAATATGCATCGATGACAGGTAATCAATACACTCATTCGGCAGCCAGGTTCCGAATAAAGCTAAAATAAAGCTAAATGATGATGCAGTTAGAATATACAAAGAAATCCCCTGCAGAAGCCAAATAGACTTGACTGCCTTCTCCATCCTAATCATGTTGCTGTGTTTGAAATGCATCTGGAAGTCATTTTTCTCGGTGAATTTGGACCCAACTCAATAAACAGAGCTTCTTTTCCTCGTTTGCTGTTTGCTTTACCTGCTTTCTCCTTGGAGCTCAGTTTTCCTCCAACCAAGGTGGGACAGCACGTCAGCTGGACTCCCTAATGTGTGAAGGACATTGCAAGCCTCACTGACAAACAATGTCCCTTGAAATTCACTTTGTCATTTTCTTCTCATTGTCAGACTGAATGACAAAAGCTGGCGATTTTAATGGGTAAAGAGTTCAGGAGGCAGGTTCTCAACAATCCCTGAGCAGTCCTTTTTAAAAACTCCTTCTCTTCTTCTTCATTGGAGTCTGTGAATTATTAAGTGACAATAATTGAACTGGTTAGTACTATGACTTGGGCAAATAATGTTAGTTCTTGTGCCTCAGTTTTCTCATGTATCAAAAGAGGGTAATTATAGTGCCTGACATTTGGTTCAGTAGGAGGACTAAAGCTCTGATATTGGCTGGCACAGAATGACCTTATGACACATGATAGTTATCACCCTAAATTTTGAGTCAGATTTCAAAAACAAGAGTAATTCAGGTCAATAACTTTATGTACAATACTTTCTGGTAGGCTTGGGATACTGCAAAGAACATGGGCTTTGAAGATACAGAAACTTGTATAATGGGAATTTTGACTCTGCCACTTCTGAGTGACCTTGGATGAATTACTCAATGTTTTTGAACTTCAGTTTCCCCATTTGTAAGCTCTTTAAAGAATGTATATAAATATAACTATCTCTTCATGGAATTTGAAATTTTACCTTTAGCTAAAGCAAGCAAATTGCTGTTAGAGTCCACAACTCTCATACATGCATGAAGATCTCAATGCCAGCATGATCTAAACTTCTTCCAAAGTAGCCAGTCAGAGGACAAGTAAGCTAGGAAGGGCCTTTTAACATCACTTTGTCTAATACATTCATTTCACAGAGAAAAAAAAAGTTCAAAGGAATTCACTGAGTCATCTAAGACAACAAAGCTAGAAAAAAATCTTCACTCCAAAGAAGAACCCAGTTATACTGAAATGACCAATATTTTGTCCTTGTCTGTCAAAGCAAAGAAAAACAAAAAAATAAGTAAAATAGTGAATTCAAATTTAAAATAAAGGTTGAAGGAAAAGAAGGGGAAATAAAGGAAGGAGGGAGGGAAGGAAAAGAGAAAGAAGGAAAGGAAAATCTAACGGAGTGTGTGGCATCATCTGGAGCACATGCTGGTCCTGTGGTGTTGAGTATGGTGAGGCCAGCAGGGTGGATGCTGAGGAGAAAAGGCCAGGAGACAAGGCTGCAAAGACAAATCCCATCTCCATGTCCCAGGTGCTGTGCGATCTGAACAAAGGAAGCCAACTTCTCCATCCCTCAGTTTCCTAATATCACCTTCTCTGTATGGTTGTTGCAAGGACTAAAGAAACAACGGGCATGCATGGATTAGTACGTAGGCAAGTAGTAGTTCTTGGGGTGGCACATAGGAAATACTCAGTACATTTATCTGTTCTTATTATTAAATGTGAATTTGATTATCATTTCTTTTTTCCACTTTTAAAATAGTTGTTTTGAAATCATTATGATAGTTTATGTTTTCTCAAACACCGGAGCTAACACTGTGATAAGGTATTGAAAGTATTAACAAAGGAAGAACAGGGTTTGGGGAGGGGTACTGGAAAGAACCAACCCTGAAATGGATTCAGTACTACTATGTATGGGATATTGTGTGGGAAGCTTTGTACATCTTCACCTACTTAGTTCTTGTCACAGGGCTATGGAGTAAGTATTAGTGCTCTTATTTTACTGATGGGGAAAATGAAATTCTGAACAACTAGATAATTTGGCCCAGGCGTTTTTGACACAAGAGCCTCTTTTCTCTCTTTTCCAGGAGACAGTACCTGACCAGCATGAGTGGTTTGGATATGAGTCTAATTCTAAAACCACCAGCCTATATTCTTAGAAATCTTTAAAACGAAGATCAGAAAAACAAAGTCTATTACTGATTATCTTGGCTTTTAGGTAAACAGTGAAGAGCCCTCATTCATTTTCCCATACCCTTCCTCCCTTCTGTAAACTGTGAATCACCGGATTTAAAAGCAGACAATCTTGGAATTTAGGTATTTTTCTGTGTTTTCCTGTTTTCAGGATAGACAGTATTGCTGCTTCCAAGACAGCTTAAGTAACGTTCTTCTTGGATATATTGATGGGCATGTCTAATTAAGGTAAAAAGTATACATATGCTTTTTACATATGTATGTATTTATACATATTTTTATACATATGTGTATATTACATGCATACACACACGTAATACAGTTTTCTTATACTTTTTTCATATGGTCAAGTGTTGTGGTTTCCAGCAACGTGTTGATGTGCAAGTTAGGAGGGGAAGAGCAATAACTGAGAAATTAGTGTCCTTTTGTCTTTTGTCTTAATAAAAATCCTGTGAATTCGAAAGCAGCATTCTCAACAGATCTCTGCTTCATCAGAGAGAGGTGACCAGCATTAAACATACTGATTGCTTTGGCTTAAGTGGATTGGTTTTCTTCTTTATGAAGCACTTCCTTAATCTAAGGCAGCAAGTATTGCTATTTCTCCACTTTTTCTGAAGCATTTCTTTGTAAAAAAAAAAAAAAAATAACATAACATAAAAATGTTATTTTGACCAAAACAAAAATAAGTTAACGGAGAACATTTTCTCATTTTGCAACTTTTTTTCTCCAGTTTTCTCTTGAGCCTTTGAGACTCGTTGTTATTTGACCTCCAACATGCACCTGCCAATGACCAAATCAATAAAAAAGTAGCAAATGATGTTAATGGAAAGAGAAACAGCTGACCACACTTAGGTCATGATATATATATTTTTAATAGATTTGACTACTTTGTTCTGGTTTTCTGTTGCATTTATATGCAGCAATTTAGTCATATTTTCTGTTCATAAAAAATATACCTAGTTCAGAGATTGGGATTAACTGTCACTTTTAGTAGAATTTTGAAATGATCGTGGTGTTCTAAGGGGCAGCACGATTTCCAGGTGTTCTGCCACCTGGATGACATGCACAACCACAATTAAGGGTCATAATTTCCATTTGTGATTCCAATATGCGGATAAAGTATTTATTGTTGTTGATTGTATTTCTTAGATGTGCTTTATTAACAGTTCTCACATGTAAGAAGGCACATTGCCCAAGTTTACCAGATAGTTTAGGCTTGCAACATAATAACCTTTAGATAATTTAAACCTGATTAGGCACATGGTAAACTCAAGTTAATATAAGCTTGATAAATTAGCCAGAATGCTCAGGAAGATGCTTTCTCTTCTGGGGAAACTGTCCTCAGTAAAAGGGCATATGGATGACCTGGTCTTCCTCTTACAAAACCAGGAGGCTAAAACCACTTCATGACCACCTGAATAGGTCTAGAAAAGAAAGTGTAAAGTTGGTTTAAAAAATATATTCATTGAGCACTTACTGTGTGCTTTAGGAATAAGATAAGCTGAGGCAGAGAGCCTCAGAGCTGATCTTTCAAATCAGAAAAGCCAGTTTATGGAAGGAGAGATTCAATATGTGAATCATAGTGAGAAACTTGCAAGGTAAGGTAATAGACTTGGGTAAGAGTTTTCCATCACAGAGATCTGGATGGCAATATACATATCTGAATTCTGGGATCCAGTTTGCCTAGAAGGAAAAGGCAGAAATCAGGTTTTATGAGGCTAGACAGAGAGAGAGAAATTTCATCTGGGTAGCCAAACCATGGAGCTCCAAGCCCAAGTCCTTGAGAGTGGTCCAGGTTTCAAGCAACCCAGAGAACAAATAAAAACTCTATTAAGGAAAGACCTTCAGTTGCCTCAAAGAAATTCATCTGCTACAAAAAAAAACTCTATTAAGGAAAGACCTTCAGTTGCCTCTTGGGTCCTATATACGTGGTCAGTGTGTGTCACAAAGGCTTAAATTTGTAGCATTGGGACAGAGAGCTCTAGAAAGTTAATGCTTAGAAATTTCAGGCAATGGCCTTTTGCAAATGTGGAACTTATCAGAGTTCTGAGCAAGTGAGCTTGCTTTTCATAGAACCTTTTCTTTTTAAAATTTTCTACATTGAACTAGCTGTTGGTTGTGTGTCTATAAATCGCTCCTAACAGACACACTTCAGGGTAGCTTCTACAACAGTTCATACAGGAACTGAGCTGCATCTCTTTCCCTCTTTCCTGACCAACAAAATTAGAGAATTCATCTGCTACAAGCTTAGGCCAGCCCTGCTCCCCGATGCCAACAATTGCAAGCCAGGATTCAATCACCTCTCAGCTGGCGCCAGGTGTCCTCAACCTTCAGTTGCATTTCTTGGCCTTGTCTGTGCACAGCATTGGCTGAGGTGACCCTTCCTCACCCTGATAAAACAGAAGCCCTCACAGATCTTACTCTCTGGTCCTGCTCCCGAGAGACCTTCAAGCTCATGAAATGCTTCATGCAGAGTTTTGCAACTCTTGCCCTGTAGGAAAAGGCTTTTGGTTTGCAGCCTTCAAGCAAAACTCTATGGAAATAAAGTCAATTTACCACTCTCTCCCTACCAAGCACCACTTTTGTAAATAAGGAGCAAAATAGCCCTTTCCCCTCATCTCCCACACCAGCTCTTCCTCCCCTCCTCCCAGCCCCCGCAGCTCTCTAGCAGCCAATTTCTTTACCCCAGAATTGTCAGGAAAGCACTGGCTGACAGGTCATATTATTGCTTCTGATCCCATTGGTCACATTGTGTAACATCTTAACTCCTAACCTAATTTGATAGATGCAGCTTGACAGGGCATAGCAGGGATACGGTCTAGCTTCCCTGGAGCTGGGTTTAAGACTCCTCTGCTGGGGACCTTAGTGGCATTCAAAGCATTTTAGGGCATATTTCTTGATCAAAATATGTGTAAGGGCAGCAGACTGCCCCCACCTATAGTGTTAGGTTCCAAAAAGTGTCTGTGATCATTCCTTCCTTGTCTCCTTATTTGATGATGGTTAAGGACCCTAAGTCGGTATAAGAAAAAAAAAAAAAAGTATAAACTATATAAAATAAGTTAAGTCCTTAGAGGATCGAGATTGCAGTGACTGCCAGAAAGCATTTTCAATGCATTTTCATGTTCAGTAAAAATGGTATGCCCAGTAAAGAGAATGCTAATGACATTGTACACATCTCCAATTTAAAGTAAGAGGGTTGAGCAGGTCAGTTTCATTTACCATCCCTCGCCCAGGAGAAACTTTCAGCTTATGTATTTGTTTTACTTTGTTGCAACAAGTGTATCCTAGGAGAAATAGAATTCCCTTCCACAGCATTGAGCTGTATGCTAGGTTCTGCAGACAGAAAAATAAAAGAGGTTTGTTTTTGTTTATATTTTGTTGATGTTCTCTTTTCTCATCTAGACTGAACTCTTTGAGGTCAAGGAACAAAGAGTTCATTATATGCATTATGTACCTAATGGTAATCAAGAGCAGAAGGCAGATTGGAGAGAAAGGAGCTTGGAGTCAGGAGTCAGGAGACCAGCAGAAAGCTTCTGCAACATTCCAAATGAGAGGAGGAGGAGGGAGCAGCACACTCAATAAGAGCTGTGGTGACCAAAATGTGGAGAAAGGGGCAGAGAGAGGACACATCTGAGTTAGGAACACAAGGAAAGTATAGAGAAGGGGACAGCCAAGAAAGTCAAAAAAATTAGGGCTCTAAGAAAATAGCTTGAATTATCCAGATTAATGTGATTGTATTTCTCCCCCTGCTAGACCAATTTTCAAGGATTTTGAGTCCCTAGTAATTCATTTTAGCACCTTTTAGACCATCTGTATGGTCAAATGCCTGGACACATTAAGAAACAAGCTACTGATGAAATGGATATTTTTAAAAATTGTCTTATTTCGTTACTTTTCCTTTTTGTCCCAAAGTGCCTTGGAAGTAGAAGGAAAGTGTGAGTCATATACTGCCTAGCTGGGAAGGCTGGAGGTGCTAAAGCTGTAACCAGATGATAGGAAATCAGGTTATAAGCCCTACCTGTTTTCCAGTGTCTCCATGATGTGGCATTAGGAGGTGACGGGCTGCAGTTACCGGAGACATTCATTCCAATGATGTTTATAAATGTACTTTGTTAGGCAGTTTTGTCGAATCCATCTCCCTTCTGTTCCCCTCTCTAAGAGCAGACTGCCTTCAGCTGTTTGATTTCTCTCCCTGAGATAGGACTGTGCTGACAGAGAATCTGGAACTCAGGTGTGAGATGAGAATGTAAAATTTAACTGCAGTATGTGCACAGGAGGAAAAGGCAAGCTGGGGGTTGAAGGACACAGGGAGAACCCTAACTCTATGTGGGAACATATGCTGGATGATGAGCTGGCTCAGGTGGGAAGGTAGCCATTCCAGGCTGGTAGGTGATGGACAAATTGGCAAGTCTTTTTCCCTTCTGGGTTGGGGCCTTATTTTTTAAATAGGTAGAGATGGTGGGTTTATTCTTCTGGGGTTTGTGAAGAACTTTGAAGAGGACTCATGAGGTTAAATGCTCCTGGCTGTGTGACAACTCTCTGCACTTCAATTTCTCTGTCAGATGAGCATTCGGCTACTCACCTTGCAAAGTTATTAAAAGATAAAATGAAACAACATGGCATGTGGTTAGCCCAGCTTTAGGTATCAACCTAGGGCATGACCCTCAAGGATGCCAGCTTCCTTCCACACTCCTGTTCTCCCCTCCATTAAGACTGGGTGCATGAGAGATAGCAGTTTTCTAGCAATGCAAACAGGTTCAGAAATGAAACCTACCTTAGTGCATGAAAATGTACTCTGGTATGTACATGACTTCCGGGTAATATTGTTAACATTTAGAGTCTTATTTAGTAGGTCTTGAGTAGGACCTGAGATTCTGTGTTTTTAACTTGCTCTTAGGTGATTTGGATGTTGCTTATCCATGGACTGCACTTTAGTGGTAAGAACCAGTGGGGGATGGAGCTGGCAAGAGGAAATCTCCTTGTAAGGGAAGCTAGACAGTTAAAGGAACAGTGTCCAAGGTTATGTACAGACGAGTCAGGTGCGGAGTGGGCAGATTCCTGTGGCAAAGGAAATTCCATTCCATTCCATTTTTTTTTCAACCAACATGATATTTATTGAACATCGTACCCCAGGACAACAAGAATACGCATTTCTTTCAAGTGCACATGAAACCTTTACCAATATAGATCATATCCTTTACTGTAAAACATGTCTCAATACATTTAAAAAGGATTCAAGTCATATAAAGTCTATATCTGGAGCATTTAAAATTAAATTATAAATCAATAACAAAAAGATATATGAACACCCTCATGGATTTGGGAAAAAATATGATTTTAAATAATTCAATGGTCAAAGAAGAAATCAAAAGGGAAAATAAAATCTTGAATAGAATGGAGACTATACCAAATTTTGAGATGCTATTAAAGCCAAAGAAGGAAACTGACAGCTCTAAGTGGTGTTGTTACAAAACAGAACCCGTCAGATTTATTGCCATGATGGTGATGAGTTTCACAAGTCAAAATGTATCAAATTTTATACTTTATGAAATTTATTGTATGTCAATTTTATCACAATAATATTGTTAAATGTGGCACATATACACCATGGAATACTACATAGCCATAAAAAACGATGAATTTGTGTCCTTTGTAGGAATATGGATGAATCTGGAAACCATCATTCTCAGCAAACTGACACAAAAACAGAAAATCGAACACCACATGTTCTCACTCATAGGTGGGTGTTGAACAATGAGAACACATGGACACAGAGAGGGGAGCATCACACACTGGGGTCTATTGGGGGGGCTAGGGGAGGGACAGCAGGAGTTAGGGAGTTTGGGGAGGGATAACATGGGGAGAAATGCCAGATATAGGTGACGGGGGATGGGGGATGGAGGCAGCAAACCACATTGCCATGTAGGTACCTATGCAACAGTCCTGCATGATCTGCGCTTGTACCCCAGAACCTAAAGAACAATTTAAAAAAAATTCCTCTTACCCCCAAAAAAATTATTTTTAAGTTAAAATCAAACTTACATGCCAGCTCTAACAAGACTCACTTGTTGGGAAATAGGAGGACAACTATGTACATGTTTAGAACCTCTGTGACAATAGTGTTTTCTTTTACAACCTTTAGGCTATAGAATGGAATTAACATAATTCCAGAAAAGAAGCTGAGATCCTGAGTCCTCTATAATGCTAAAAGGATTACTTAGGGTTCCAGGCAGTTTCCACCAAAATCTGAATTTTCGTTCTTTTGAAATTTCATTGTATTCCAGGCACTGTGGCTCACGCCTATAATTCCAGCTCTTATGGAAGCAGAGATGGGAGAATAGCTTGAGCCCAGGACTTTGAGACCTGCTTGGGTGTTATAGCAAGACCCCGTTCTCCACAAAAAGGAAAAAAACAAAGACAAAAAACAACAAAGAAATTTGATTGTACATGATTGCATACAGCTCATACAGCTAGACATTTAAAAAATCTTCTTCAGTTAGGTTTAGCCATATGGCTATTCTCAGTGACAGAAAATGAGCAGAAATTACGAATCCCATCTATGAAGTAAGGATTTAAAAAGCAAGTTTTCTCTCCCAAGTTTTCTTTACCTTTCTGCCAGTATCCAGTCTGAGGCTGGTATCTGGAGTAAGCAGTGTGATTTTTAGCATACTGGTTGAAAGAGAATGCAGGTCTCACTGAATTGCTGCATACCCCCAGGATCCAGGCAGTCTTCTTAGCCACATCTACCTCCCAGTAATGCTTTCCAGAGGAGAAGTGCTGGGAGCCCAGGACACTACAGTCATGATGCTTTTCCAGACAGGAAGGTCCAGATACTTTACTCCCACAAACCTCACTTGTCTAAGGTTTTTAGCCAGGACAAGATTTAAATTAGCTGTGTGCGGATTCAGAGTCATGTCCACCCAGTAGCTTTGGACATCTGTCAGCTCTCTAAACACTCGCAGCATCTTTTTCAGATCTGGGGCTCCAAACATACTTCTCAGCCTTGTAGGGAGAGCTTCTGGCTTCCTCAGGGTCCAGAACTCACTCCTTTCTGTGACATCTCTCGCATCCTGCAGCAGCTCCATTGTTGACCCCTGACATCGACGCTCCAGATCGAGATGAGCTCTCTCAGCGACTGGCTCTGGTGGACCAGGTCATTCTCAGCCCCTTCTATAATACGCAGCCCCTTCTTCTCTTCCTCCTTCAGCTTTTTCAGCTCCCACTGCTCCGCTCTGTCTAGAATGTTTCACAGCTGATTAAACTCTGTCTGGATCCGGTATCTCACAGGCTCCATCTGATTCTTCCAGGTCGTCCTCTTCTCTCTGATAAAAGCTGTTAGCTTCTCAGCTTCTTGCTGCTCTTTCTTCAGCTTCTTTAGAGACTCCTGGAACTTCTCCTGGTACTCCTGGGCAACCTCCTCCATGAGGAACATGTGGTGACCACGGTGCTCCTCAGACCGTTCACAAAGCCAACAAATGACCTTCCCATCATCCTTAAGAAGAGCTGCAGCTTTTCTCCATAGTCTGCACAAAGAACTGCTTTCAGCTGCTTCCCAGCGCCCAACACCTCCTCTCTGAGTCTCCCCGCTATTTTGGCCAGATGTCGATTAGGCCGCAGGTTCCCAAGCTGGTAGCTGGTCTGGCACACAGGGCAGCTTCTTTCCCCTTCTTGACCAGTCATTGATTCCCTGCTATTCCGTGTGAGGCAGGCTTGGCAGAAGCTGTGGCCGCAGTCTAAGCTCAGGGGTTCTGTCAGAAGGTCCAGGCAGATGGGGCAGGTCGCCTCTTCCTGTATGTCCACCAGTACTGTTGAAGTCATTGTGGCTACTTTCCTGGCTCCTGCCTGCCCAGCCCTGATTTCTAAGATGTCTCCTGCTTATAGAATCCTGGAATCTGCGGTGTGGATCAGAGCCGAGAGGCAGCAGCCGCGTCCTCCATCCAACCCGAAAGCAATTCCATTCCATTTTTGAGGCAAGATTGTGGATGATGACGGTCTTGAAACGACCTCAAAGCAGAAAGCCCTCGGTAATTATTCCATGTCTAAAACTTCAATGGCTCCCGACTGCCCTTGCATGAAAGTTCAAATTACTCAACGTAACTTACATACCCATCATGATCCTGTTTCTCCATACACTCTTCCTGCGCGTTAGTTTTTTTCTGCATTTGGCCATGTCTTTGCATGTGCTGATTCTTCTACCTGGAATGGTCTTTGCTCTCAGCTTCCTTGCCTACCAAGCAAACTCCTATTCACCGTTCAATTAATTAATTAATTATTTATTTAGAGACGGAGTTTCGCTTCTCCTTACCCAGGCTGGAGTGCAATGGCGCGATCTTGGCTCACCGCAACCTCCGCCTCCTGGGTTCAGGCAATTCTCCTGCCTCAGCCTTCTGAGTAGCAGGGATTACAGGCACGTGCCACCATGCCCAGTTAATTTTTTGTATTTTTAGTAGAGACGGGGTTTCACCATATTGACCAGGATGGTCTCAATCTCTTGACCTCGTGATCCACCCACTTTAGCCTCCCAAAGTGCTGGGATTACAGGCCTAAGCCACCTCGCCTGGCCCTCAAATTTATTTATTTATTTATTTTGAGATGGAGTTTCGCTCTTGTTACCCAGGCTGGAGTGAGCCACCGCGCCGGGCCTTTATTTTTTTAAAATCAACTTCTCTATGAATGTTAAACATTCATAGCATATGTGTGTGTGTGTGTGTGTGTTTATGTATATATTAAAGTCTATAGCTGTATTTCTGAGGATTGATGGACCCCAGGGCTATCTGTCTTCTCCCCCTGTAATCTGTGAGGTTCTTGAGAGTGGGGTCCTTGTTTAATTGTCTCTGTCTTCCTAGGACCTAGCACAGTCTGGACCAACTCCAGTTATTCAGCAAATTATAGTTAAATTGAACAGAAGACTGGTTGGAGGAAACAGGATGGGGGTGATTATAAACTGCTCTAGTAAAGAACTTGTGATCATAAGAGACTTTAACCAAAAAGTTGGAGGAGTAAACCAGGGAGGGCCTTCATCTGAAAGGAGGAATTGTGTGCTCAGCAGAGTAAATTTGCGTGCAGACTGCTCAATGCAGGTTGCAGGCATCCTAGATGAAAAGGGACCCCAGCCTTGTGGATTAACCTATTGCTGAGTAGAGTAGAGTGATACTCTGTGATATTCTGACTTTGCAGTCGTATATATGCTTGTCATATATACTACTGCTGAGTCCATTTAATCCTTCATGTTCTTTGCAGAAATAGGCTCCCCTGTCTCTCCTCCAGTTCTCACTCTCTTTTAGGGAAACATCTGAAGTAGCTAAGGCCAGTATTGAACTTTTGAAGTCCTGCTTGATAAATGTGACAGGAAGAAGTAAACTTGAGTTCTGCCCAGTGAAGAACCTGAGTTAAGAAAAGGAGAAAGGGGGAGATACTGCCATCCCTCCTGCATAAATTCTACCCTCTGAGCCCAAGGCTGGCTTCTTCAGTCCCTGCTTCTTTTAGGGTCATTCTCTATACCTGCCTTTTCAAATTTGCAATCTGAGTCTCTCTATTCTGGAGTTAACAGTTGCAAAAGTATTAAGAGCTTCCTATATGTAAGGCCCTATACATAGTGTGTTGCTTTGTCTGTTTTCTCTAAGCAATTCATATTGACAATTGATGAAAAACACTTCTATACTGCCCAGGTAGGGAAATGGACTCTAGACATGAACCCTGGCCTGACCGTTTACAGACTATGAGACTCTAGGTAATTCTTTATACCCTCAGATTTCCCATGTACAAAATGGAAATAACAATACCCATTTCACAGAGTTGCTGAAAGGATTAGACAGAATACTACATTTTATTCTGTTGCCTCTTTCTGAAAACTATGCTTATGCCAATAATATTATCTCCAACCTTTATCATACATTGAAATACTATTTAGTTACCATATAAAAATGTCTTGTTATGAGGGAATGGAGAGCTATAAATATCCATGCAATAGAAGGGACTACTCCAACAAAGACCTAAAGTCTGTAACAGGATCTAAAGGCCAGTGACTTAACACATATAACATGCATGACATTTAAAATAAACCAATCAGTTTACGAAAGACAGAGTGACACTTTGAATAAAAAATGTGGCCAAAAGGGATATTAAACAAGGAACTCATTGGGGAAACAATGTGGCCAATAGGTATATCAAAGGCTTTTTGCCCTCACTTACTGTTGTATTATTTTTTATGTAAGGAAGTTGGTACTTAGAAGAGGAAAGTAACTTTCTGAAAGTCACTGTGAGTGTAGGTAGAAGAACCCACATGAACCTGGGTTCTCTTTCAGTTGCTCGTCTTTTAAAGAATTTATAGGTGGGAGCTCAACAATGATAACACATGGACACAAGGAGGGAAACAACGCACTCTAGGGCCTGTGAGGGGTGGCCGTGGGGGGAGGGAGAGCATCAGGATAAATAGCGAATGCATGTGGGGCTTAATACCTAGGTGATGGGTTGATACGTGCAGCAAACCGCCATGGCACACATTTGCCTATGTAACAAACCTGTGCGTCCTGCACATGTATCACATACTTAAAATTAATTATAAAAATTGTTGTTATTTCTGCTTATTTTGCTTTTCCAAATTTATTTTGCATTAAATTCTTCTTGGATTTTGAAAGTAACACAAAGCAAAACAAAATTTAAATTCTCAAAATATTAATTGAAATTATAAAATGTAGACATTAAAATAAACTATTGGAAAATTTAATAAAGGTTTTCTTACTTTTATGTTCATCTCTTACTCTCTAAAATAACGTTTGCAGCCAGGTGTGGTAGCTCACACCTGTAATCCCAGCACTTTGGGAAGCAGAGGTGGGCAGATCACTTAAGGAGTTTGGAACCAGCCTGGCCAACATGGCAAAACCCCATCTTTACTAAAAATAGAAAAATTAGCTGGGCATGGTGGCACGTGCCTGTTATCCCAGCTACTCTGGAGGCTGAGGAGGAGAATCCCTTGAACCCAAGAGGCAGGGGTTGCAGTGAGCCAAGATCACATCACTATACTCCAGCCTGAGTGCCAGAGACCCTGTCTCAAAAAAAAATAATAAAAATAAAATAAATAAAATAATGTTTGAGTTAACTTTTTCTTTGCCAAGCAATATGTGAGGCACAAATGTGAGAAAAATGAGCAGAATGTAAGCCATGCCATTGAGCACATTACCAATGCAGGGAGTAGACAGATCTATAAATAAATAATTTCAACATTTGCTCGGTTTACTACAGCCAGTTATAGTAACCATTTTTACTAATTATAGCAAACATTTGATTTATAAAATGTTCTCTGTGATTACTCATGGCATCTGCACATGATAGAGAGTCACAGCATTTTATCTAAAACTCTTGGGAGTAGACATTTCTTGTAATTTACAATTTGAATGACAATATGGTACATATTCTATATATTACATAACAACTTCAGCAGGGTCCAGGGAAAAGCCCATCGTCAAGCATATTAAAATGTCTGCAGCAATATAAACATTCACATTCAGATCCGTTTTTGCACCAAATGAGTGATGCAGCACATTTAGCTTTCAGAATCTTTTGGATTTCAGACTTATAGATTAGTCTTATGAATTTATGATTTAAAAATTTTCAATATGTATTAATTTTATTTTTTTCTCTGCCTTATTGTACCAGCTAGACCTACTTAAATAATGTTCAACAATGAAGGGCAGAGTAGGAAAACTTGTTTTATCCCTAATTTACAGATCTGCATCTGGTGTCCCCTAATAAAAAAATTATTTGGTTGAAGGTTTAGAATAAGAATATTCATCATATTAGGAAAGAATTATTTTATTCCAACTTGAAAAATGAAAATTATTAAATTTTATCAAATGCATTTAGGGAATATTGAAATAATTATCTACTTTTTTATTACTAGCCTGCTGATAAACTTTTACTGCATTATTCAATTTCCTTATATTGAAACTGGGTATTTTCCTGTTGGATTATTGAATCAATAATATTAGCTTGTTAAGCTGTAATCTGAAGTAGTTAGTTGAAGGTTTTGAATCTATATTCGTAGTTTAAGTTATTCATTTTCTTTCTTTTTTGCAAAATATTTTATTACCTTTGAGGATCTGGATCAAATGTTTCTTGTGAAACAAATTGGATAGTTTTCCCATCTTCTACTCTTCAGAACATATTATAATGACTACATTTATGTATTTCTTGAGTGCTTGAATTTAATCACTGTTAAATCTCTCAAGATCTAATGTCTTTGGGGCAGACAGTTCTTTAAGAGCTTTCTATGATTATTCCTCAGTTATTGGTCTGTTTCCATTTTCTGTTTCTTCTGTAACTTTCAAAACTGGATTATCTGTTATTAGATTGGAAAGATTAGAAGTTAAAGGAGTAGGTGTTTTTATCCTGTCCAGCTCTGAATGCATATGTCTTTGCATCACTGAATTTATAACAGCTTTTATTTGTTCTTCTAATTGTCTTTTTTTTTTTTTTTTTTTAATGTGGGACTTCATTACAGGAGATTTGATTTGGGCCCAAATGTTCATCAGTTTATCTTTCACTTTGCTGTCTTTGAAATAATGTCTTGAAGAACAACTAGATTCTAAGAAAATCACATCTTAAAAGAACTTGAGAGACCATTTCGTATAGCCTACTGATGCTAGAAATGGTGAACGTGAGGTCTCAGCTGGTGAAATAACTTACATGTTATAGTGTCAGGAACAAAACCAAGCTCAGCCTGGCTAGTGGAATGTCATTTTAAAATAAGCACAGCTATGAAACAGCATACATATATTTCTCTTCCTTGCTGTCCTCAGAACTTTGCCTACCCTTGACTCCCAAGTATTAGGTCCCATATGTGAGTTGGTGGCTAGTACATGATAGCGTCCAGAGCCTAATGGATTGGCTGCCAGTCTTTCAGCTCCAGGGTACATCATCAAAATGATAAATTTCTTCAATGCCATCCAGCTATAGAAGGAAAGACAAGAGCAAGTCCCAAGAATTATCAGTGGCTTTCATTCTTTAGTTTATGTCTGCTCTTATTCATTATGAAGCATTGCCTAAAACCTAGTTGAGGGTTTTACCTATTAATTTTATTATTCATAATAAAAATTGCCAGAACATCAAATAGTAAAGCTTTGACTTGAAGGAGTAAGAACAGTATTATGCCTAGGTAAAGATTGATTGATTTTGAAAATGACTGTTTTTTTTAAACTGAATGTTCAGTGCCTGCCATCCTGTAGACTAACCATGACATCATGTTATGGCAAAAGCAAATGTGGGTTCAGAGACTTACTCATGTTTGTCAGTAAACATGACAAGGAAAGCACTTAACTGTGTGGATACCAGGCCTAGAAAATCATTCAGTGAGTTCATCTGATTCTTTCTTGAGAGCTGGACTTACCAAAGCTTCTATTATTTTCATAGCATCCATTTGAGACCTTATTAGAAAACTTTTGTGCTTTAAGTTTTTCTGGGAGTACAAATTGTTTTGCCTGGTCCTTCGTGCATAACAAATAAACACAAAATAATTAAATACATGATGCTGAAGAATAGGAGTGCCAGGAATAGAGGCGCTAATCTCCTATCCTGGGGAATGGGGTGGCACGATTAGGCAGGCCAAGACTTGAAAGGGCAGAGTGATTGTTTGGAGGATACTAGAGCAAAGAACCAGTAGGAGAGTGTAGGGAAGCCCTCCCCTGGAAAATGGAAGAGATTGAAGTTTTAAAGTTTGATTTACCATTAGTTTTAAGTGTTGCACCCAGCATAGGAAATGGGAAACAAAGCCAATAATATCCACAGAAACAGAGAGTCAAAGATAAAAAACAAAACAAACAGTATAAAAAATTAATAGGGGAGAGATCTGTGTTAAATTACATAATAAGTGTAAAGCATGTAGGACAGGGCCTGATAGACTGTTCAGGAAATGCTGGCTATTACTGAAACAGACTTTTAAATGTCTATCTCTTTTCCTTTAAAGCAGGGTATCCAATGTACTGGCTTCCCTTGACCACAATTGAAAGTAAAAGAATTGTCTTGGGCCACACATAATATACATTAATACTAACAACAGCTGATGAGCTAAAAAAGAAAAAGAAAATGACAAAAAAATCTCATATTTTAAGAAAGTTTATGAATTTATGTTGGGGTGCATTCAAAGCCATCCTGGGCCACAAGTTAGACAAGCTTGCTTTAAAGCTTAAATAATCCTTATACTTTCTTCTTTTTCATCATCAAATCCTGTCAGAAAATACCTTCACAGTATTTTCCAAGTCTGATCCATTCTTACTTCTTCCAGAATTCCTTGCCCAAACTGTCAACATCTTTTCAAAATCAATGTCTCTTTTTCCACCGTGAGTCACTGCAGTGTACCCATCACCCAGGAAATCAGTTCAAGATGCTGGCTCACATGTTCCCCCATGGCTGCCCAGGGCATGGTGAAGGTTTCATGTACTTGTACCATGACCAGAAGACTCCCTCATGATCTTACCACAGCCACCTTTCTAACTTCATCTCCTACCACCTTCTCTTATTTACTCCATTTTTCTTGATCTTAAAGAAAACCAAACTAGTTCTCTCTCCAGGCCTTTTGCACTAGCTGTGTCCTCTGCCAGATATGTCTGTGTATCATATTACCCCATGGTCCAGACTGTTCTTCAAGAGTTTATTCAGACAGAGAAGATTCTTAGAGAAGATTACTCTGAGGCCTTACCCAAAATTCTGCCTTCTCTGCATTCTCTATCCCTTTGCTGCTTTCTGTTTCCTTCACAGTGTATGTCAGTTCACCTTGGGATTTCATTATACATTTATGTAGTTTCCAGTTTGTAGCCTCTCTCTCTTACAGAATGTAAACTACATGAGGGCAGAGACTTGATCTGTCTCATTTACAGTTGCATCCTCCAGGGATCAGAATGGTGTCTGGCATAAAGTAGGGAGCTCAACAAGTAGTTTTGAATGAATAAAAGAATCTGAAGATATTTCTAAGAGCATATGTTTGTATTTGGAATAGTGTGCCAGATGCAAGCTACAATAAAATAAGCGGATAAAGTATGATGGAGAAGAAAAAATAAATGTTGGCAAATAAAAGTTAAGCTGTAGGGAGGGTTTTCCATGAATTTCATTTTATAGTCATGTTTTATACACTTGGTAGATGAGTCATATACTTGACTTTGTCAATATTTTTTTATTGACGACCTACTATGTGCCAGGAATTTTTGAAGACATAATTTTACACATGTGCACATGCTCAGACACACAGAGAATCTAATCTGCACATAATTATATAGATATATAGACTGTATGTGTGTCTATCTATATATGTATTTATGTCTATATCTATATATCTAATCTATATAATCAACTCTGGTCAACCCTAAGGGTTTGATATCATTCTCCCCTCTTTATTTATTAGCTAGAAAGACCAAAACTCAGAAAGGCATGGTTACCTAAAAAAACAAACAAACAAACAAACAAAAAAACCCAGTGCATTTAAATAAGGGTGTAAATAATAACAAAGTTCAGTCTTTTCCGCACTTAGGCACACATTTTGAAAGATTTATTTATAGATTCACTGCTTTCTAGATGTGTGATATTATTCAAATTAGTTGGCACCCTTGATTTTATCAGTTGTAATATGAAAGAAGCAGATTTAGTCTGCTTATTCCAAAAAGTTGCTTCTAATTTAGAGGAAGTAATGAATGTGAAGCACTGAACATGGAGGTTCACTGTGTTCACTGCCACAGGGAGAAAAATCGATCTGCACGGAGTACACACTGAGCTAATTACAGAAAGAGAAGCAGAGAAGACAGATGATGAGAAGGTCTTGATGCTGGTTTAGTCTCCTCTGCATCCCATCTTTGCTGAAGTCAGCTCTAATCCTTCCTTCTCCACCACTGGTAAATAGTAAATTTTCCTCTTTGACTTAAACTAGCAATGTAGCTGTTGTTCAAGATTGAAAGCTTCATAACACAGAGCCCTGCATTGACCTCTTTGGAGCCTTGCTGATGCAATTCTCACCATGCGAGGAGCCCTTTTATCAACAGTATACCTGACTCTAATATCTAGGAGTGTAATGTTTAAAAACACCGAGTCTCTGCTTCCAAAGAAGTCCAATATTAATGGGGCGCCGGGGCGGGGCTCGGGGCGGCCGCGCAGGGAGCTAGAGCCCGCAGCTGGAAGCGGCCCCACCCCGGCCGCGCGGGGCGAGGCGAGGCGGGGCGGGGCCGGGAGTGATGGGAAGGGGAGGCCTCGCGGATCCGGAGCAGCATCGCGCCAGCCGGGCTGCGGGCTGCAGCGGTCGTGCACTGAGTCCGCGATGGGGCTGGAGACTGAGAAGGCGGACATGCAGCTCTTCATGGACGACGACTCCTACAGCCACCACAGCGGCCTCGAGTACGCCAACCCAGAGAAGTTCGTGGACTCAGGCCAGGACCGGGATTCCCACCGGCTCAACTCGCATCTCTCAAGCTGGGCTTGGAGGATGTGATCGCAGAGCCGGTGACTACGCCCTCCTTTGACAAAGTGTGGATCTGCAGCCATGCCCTCTTTGAAATCAGCAAATACGTAATGTACAAGTTCCTGACGGTGTTCCTGGCCATCCCTCTGTCCTTCCTTGCGGGAATTCCCTTTGCCACCCTCAGCTGCCTGCACATCTGGATTATAATGCCTTTTGTAAAGACCTGCCTAATGGTTCTGCCTTCGATGCAGACAATATGGAAGAGTGTGACAGATGCTATCATTGCTCCATTGTGTACGAGCATAGGACGAAGCTTCTCTTCTGTCAGCCTGCAACTGAGCCAGGACTGAATACTTGGACCCCAGGTCTGGAGATTTGGATACTGTAAAGTATCAACAACTTCTTTGATGTTATAACATAAAAGCACCACTGTTCTGTTCATTTCCTAGCTGTTCTAATTAAGAAAACTGTTAAGATGAGCAACCACATTTAGAAATGTTTATTGGCAGATCTTTTCAAATAATGCTTTTCTAATTAATAGCCAAAGATTTCATACCTAACTTTGTAACCAGAATTATACCATAAGTTGACAACACTTAGATTTAAAGGCAGACAGTTTTGCTTTAGTACAATAGTACACATTTTATAATGATGACTTGAAAATAATCAAGGGACATTGCTATCAAAACATTACAATAGTTTTATGCACAACTTCCCATAAAAAAATGAGATTTCTTATTTGTGTGTTTGTTTTTACTTTAGGAGTAAACCTTTTTAAGTGAGCTTTACAGATATAGTCACTAGTATACTTAGAATATACAACGATCCTGGAAATTGCAGTAATGAAAGCACACAGTGATTGTAGTAACTATCAGATACAATAAAACAAATAAATGTGACAGTAGATTCATGAAAATGTATTCCTTTGTTTTCCGACAGGCCTATTTAATAAGATGTTTCATTTTACTGTATATTTTGTACTTAATATAAATGTTGCTCTAATCAGATTGCTTAAAAGCATTTTTATTATATTTATGTTGTTGAACTAATATATGAAATAAGTAAATTTAGTTACCACAAGGTAAACTTCATTGGTAAGATTGCACTGTTTTGATTATGTAAGCATCTATATATCTTCTTTGAAAATAAAATACAAAAGAGCGATACACAAAGCTTTCTTTTCTAAATTTTCCGAGAAAAATCTGAAATGTTTTATGACTGACGTTTATCTGGTTGTGCTTTTAAAAGTATTCATATCTAAATATTATTATTATGTCTAGGAGATGCTTTCTTTCTAGTAGTTAGAAATTAAACTTGTGTCTGCATTCCTATTGATGTTTCACTTTACTTTCAAGTAATATTGGTGCTATTTAACATTTTAAAGTAAAGGCTACTTCTGATACTTTAGTACAATTTCAACTACAGTGATTCACGTAGAGAGACAGGAAAGTTGTCAACTTGTTAGGCTACTGAGCTGCATGCATAAACTAAAAACTAACAGCTACAAACTTTTAAGATGTTCTCTAATATGTATATGTAACACAGGATAAAGTTATTCTTGTCATTTTGAGCTGTAGAGTCCTGTTTCAGTGTGATGAATCACTGTTGCTTTGAAAAATCTCATTTCAAAATGACAGACATACCAAAAAAAAGTCTATAATGTGAGTAGTTACTAAATTTTACACATCTAAAAGTGCATATATGCTTAAATTTCAGAATTGCCATCAGAACTTGAATTGACTTTCCTTTGAATACCCTTATAAGTGACAAATAAGATTAATAAGATTTTTCAAAATTGCTGGGACTGGTGAATATAAATGATGATTAAACTGGAATACTATTGGGGACCAAATCAAATGAATGATTCAATTATGAAGCTCATATCCTTTTGAAGGTAGTTGCAAAAGAGACATTTCAAAACTGCCCTAAGCCATTGTAGCATCCTTAGGTGGAACACATAAGCATTACCTTAAAGTATCACCACTCATTTTGACCATATAGATTTTATTATGTTAGTTTAAAAGGTCAATCAGTCTCATGATTTTATAGTTATGTCTTGTATCTTAAAACATTTTTTTAAACATTTGGATAAACCAGAAGTATTTTAAGATCCATTTTTATAAATTATGAGCTTCTATCTTTTCAAATAGCAAGTTTTAAGCCCAAAACATGTATATATAGTTCTGTAATAAAACTGTGTGACTTCTAACAAGTAACATGTGATTTTATTCTTTCTGAACAGTACTGGTTACATTCAAAATGAATTTTTATTGAGATTTTCCATTAACTATTTTTTTCAAAGACTCACATTTTGAACCAAGTAAACCCAGGCTTTATGGACAAATATGTTGTTTCTTTTATTTGGGGCTGGGGGAGGTATATGATTAGCAGACTGCCTCAGAATTCATAATAAATGTTCTAAAAACCTAAAAAAAAAAATAAATAAGAAAAAGAAGTCCAATATTAATCAGAAAGCAGACATTTAAAAGAGATATACGCATGTTACATATGTGCAAATTGTTATGGGAAACCAGAGGACACTAGGGATCCATACTATCTTTAATGTGATCATGCAGACTTCCTTTTAAATCAGCAACTTTAATAGTTTTTGGAAATCTGATCAAAGCTTTAGATGCTATCCGAAGAAAAAAATTCTCAGGCCAAATTGTTGTTAGACTCACAGATATGTTAGAAACATAAAGTCACAGATACATTAGAAACGTAACGTTACCTTCCAATGCCACTTGTCCATGAGTTTAGTTTTCACCACAGTGTTTCTTTGCTTATTGGAATTCATAGACATCTTGCAGAAATAGTATAGCACTTTCCTCAGAAAAATGTGTACCTGCAGAATTTCTCTTAAGTCATGAGTTCTATGACCCCAATCGAAATTCCCTACCATGTAGAATCGGCTAGCCACTGACTCCTTCAGCAGGTCTCTATGTGGGGTCAGGACTACTCTGAATCCCACCCACAGGCAGTGCTAAGTGTTTTCTGCCATAAGAACCATGGCAAAAATGAACAGTGACTTGTTAAACAGTTTTATAATACGATTTGCCATCTATACTCGAATGTCTCAAAGTTGTAACTGACTAGATGAAGCTTGTGAGGAAAATAAGCCATTTAACTTGACTTATTTTCCAAGAGTGAGCTGTTCTTCAAGAAGCCAGAATCTAGCTCAGGAGTCTCTCCCTCTCTCAAACAAATGTGAGTTATGCAGCTTCTATCTGTAGGGCATTGTGCATTTCCTCTCCACTGCTGCACAAGATGCTTCCTAGCCGTAGCTATTGAATTAATCAAAATTTACTTTTATTGCACCATTCTGGAAACTTCATTCATACCCCTTTCCAGTAACACTGAAAAGAAAAATAATCCATGCCACTCAATTAAGAATAAAACATATGTCTTCTTGATGATGTCTGAGTGGTGGCAATTCCAGTGGTCATTGTCTCTTGAAGTCACTCAACATTTAGGCCAAGATAGACTACCAGGGTATTCCCGCAAGCAGATAAGTTTCATTTCAACCACTAAAAGAAAAAAAAAAAAAACAATTTTAAAAGTAAGGGATCTCTGATGACCTAGTGTCTGTGGACAGAAGCAATAATAATAAGATGAATTTTGTGAGCACTTTCCCTTCTAACTGTTCAAAGAGCAGCACCAACTAATATTTAATTCACCTCCACCACAGCCATGTGATTTATAACTTCTCCAGGACCCAAGACTTGAGTAAAGAAGATTACTCAGGCATTCAGCAGTGGTCTTGGCTGTTTAAAGTGCTGAGGATATACATTTCCTGGCATTACAAGAAAGAGATCTAGACTCTAGAATAAGGGAAGGGAAAGATATTTGTGCTGGTATAGAGTTAGGCATGTTAAGATAGGACTGCCCCGGAAATAGAGAGCTCACCAAGAAGACTCATGGGGGACATTACCTGGAAGAGCCCAGCCCCGGGTTGCCATTCTTAGCTTTATAGCTCCATAAACTACCTTGTTAATGGCCTAGAATTGACATAACTCAAGGGAATTGCCTGATCATAACCTATTAATACACAAATTCAAATGAAATCAGACTACCTATCAGTGTGTTCATGTAAAATGCACAGATACTTCCTTGAGTGATTAAAGGGTAGTGTTTGTTCACAATCCATCTGTCTGGTTTCCGTATATCAAAAAACAAAACAAATGGCAAAAAACTTGGGAACTAACACAGTGATTGATGAACATGGAATCAGATTAAAGGTCACTCTTTTTCTGCTTCTTGAAGTTATTCTCTGTCTTTTCCTCCCTATTTCCCCCCCATAACATTGCCTTTGCTTACCTACATATATGTGTGTGCAGACACACATACATTTATAAACACATAAATGCACACACACACACACACACACACACACTTTGCCAACTCCTATCATTCCTTAAATGTCAGATTCTTATTAAATGTTATCTGAGGCCCTCATATCAGGTTAAGTTCTATTATGTACTCTTACAGCACCACATGTATCTCTCTCTCTCTCTCTCTCTCTCTCTCTCTCTCTCTCTCTCTCTCTCTCTCTCTCTCTCTCTCTCTCTCTCTCTCTCTCTCTCTCCCTCCCTCTCTCTCTCCTCTCCTCTCTCTCTCGTAGCATTTATTATGTGGCATTTTAGTTAGTTTTATTTTCCATGAGATTGTAAATTCCGTGTGGGCAGAGATGGGTAGCATCTGGTTCACCATCCTTTCTATAGCACCTAACAAGGTATCTGGGATATCTAGTATATACTGAGCTCTTAACAACAAGAATACAAATTATAGATAACATGTTTAAAGCACTCAGATGTAGCAGGCACCAGGCTAAGAACTTTGCATATCTTATATAACCTTCACAACTTGCATTTATGTACCATGGTCAGCATTTTCAAAAAAGGAAAATGAAAACTGCAAAGATGAAGTCACTTTCTTAGCTTCGGTTCTTCAGAAACAAATTCTGAAAATAGGATTCAAGTGCAAGTGGTTTATTTGAGAGATGATCTCAGGCAACATCCACTGGGGAGTAGAGGAGTGAGACAGGAAAAGGAAAACCGCCAACAAAGGGTGCATCCTCCAGTCAGATACCACTGTGGGCAACTGAACTCAGTGCCCTGGGGAAATGCCAGCAACCAGCACAGAACACTTACATGAGAGTTACCCCATCAAAAGAGCAAGCGAGATGGGGTACCTATGGACCACCTTCCATCAGTCATTGGTTGAGGTCTGCTAAGCATAGGTTTCAGGGGCATTATTCCCTAGCCCTCTGGCTTACTGTGTACATGCAGGCACAGCAGGCTCCAGCTATCAAAGAGAGCCCTGGAGGAGTTGGAAGGCAGGTGTACTGCCCACCTGTGAGAAGAACTAAGGCATGTAGGAAGATAGCAGCTGCAAAGGTTACACACTCAAGTTCTGTTCTTAATCAGGGACAATACCGGGATGGGACCTGAGACTCTTTGACTCCAAAGTATATGGTTTTAATGACTATCTTCATATCCATATCTTAAACAAATGAATAAAAAGAGGGAAAAAGAAATAAAGTGAAGAAATAAAGATTATCAGGAAGAATTTTTTTGTGAGAGCTAAGATTATGTCTGATGAAGCTTTTCTCTCCTCAAAGAGAAATGCTTTTCTAGCAACTAGGGTGTTGGTGCTTTCTGGATTCAGTGTCTCTCCTCTTGGGGAGCATTGCACTGTTCTGTCAGTTTTCTTTCTCTTTATAAGAAGGTAAGAGAGCTCATGGTAAGGGAACCTCTTCTTTGGTGCTCTTCATTCTTTCTGAAAATATGATAATATACTGATTTGGTCACAATCAAGTCTTGACCTATCCTGGGAACTATGCTGTTTCTATGGTGATTGCCCATATACCACCTGTCAGCTGTCATTCATTGATTTTCTTGGTCCAAAGCTCAGATTACTGAGGGCACTATTTATGGTTGCCAGTAAGCCCTGTATCCTGCCTGTATATTTCTTTTCTTCTCTTCTCTTCTCTTCCTCCCTTCATACTCATCATCTCATTCCATGCAGGCTTCAAAATTAGATTGCAGCTCCAAATTTAGTTAATCCATTTTATTGGTAAGATAGTGGTGTCTCTTTCACAATACAATAGCTGTGTCTTGAGAATAGTCATTTGTTAATTTGGTTCTTGTTAATAAAATCTTTTTATAATGCCAGTAATCATATCCTACAGTTCATAGTCTCAGTCACACCATTTAGCCAGTGCCTGTATGTCATCTGTACATCTGTTTATTTGTGAAATCAAGCCTTATGTCCGGTTCAACACATGTATACTGAGCACCAACTATGTTCCAGTCACTGTGGTCATGACCAAAATGTGAATAGGACATGTTCCCTGTTCTTAAAGGCTGGTGCGAGAGACACATAAAAATGTGATGTCAGGACTTTGTGATATGCTGTATCACAGAGTTCAGCATGAAGACATAAGAAAGGAGAAAGTGCAGTTAATATATAGTATTATAAACGTATGAGACCAGCCTTGTATATTTGGTTTGTCATTGGCCAAAATGTTATTATGCAGAGCATGACTGAAATTGCTGAAATAGTATAGATGGAACTTTGAGGGGATAGTCCAGCCAAAGTCAAAGACTGAGACTTAGGGATAAGGGGCTTTGGAAAATTATCTGGAGATGATAGGAAGGTCCTGGGTTCTTAATTCCAACTTCTCTGTGTTCTTCCTCCTCCTACACACAATACCCCAATATTCCCTACCCTCCCAAAAGGAATTTTTTTTTCTTGCTTATCTTCCTCAAAATAGCCTTGATTTTCTTAAACTTACTTTGAAATCACAAAATACCCTTGGCTCCAATATGGTATGTAATGCATTTTCATAGTCAAGAATTCATAATTATGATAATAACTAATATATACTGAAGTGCTTCATATATGCCCGGTGCTCCACTGTGGACTCCTGCATTGTTATTATTTTTTTAATTTATTTATTTTTGAGGTGGAGTCTTGCTGTGTCGCCCAGGCTGGAGTGCAGTGGCATGATCTCGGTTCACTGCAACCTCCACCTCCCTGGTTCAAGCAAATCCCCTGCCTCAGCTTCTTGAGTAGCTGGGATTACAGGCACATTACTTAGGCCTTTGAACAACCAATGATTTAGGTACTATTATTATCCCCATCTTATAGATGAGGAAATTGTTGGTTAGTAAAATGAAGGAATCTGCTCAAAGATAACTGCAAACAGCAGGTTTGGGATTTGAACACAAAGCACTTTGACTCCAGAAACCATGTAATTACCCCTTCTTTATACCCCTTTTCCTATAAATTCTTCCATTCACCCAAACATTTACATTACTTTTACTGAGAACTCTAGGAGGCCAAGTGTTACATTATATGAAGAAAATGCAGGCATTAAAAGAAACATCCTAAATCCTCAAGAAATTTTACAATTAATGAACAATGTCACTTAGAATGAGCTGTAGACCAAAAAGCAGTTTTTCAACTGCAAAGAACAGTGTTAATCTCCAGTTGAAAAATGCTAGATAAAGGCAATTTTGGGGGATTGTGGGAGGCTGCCTCAAGAAAGGCAACATACACAGTTAGACAGGAGAGGAGGAGAGAATGTTGAGGAAAAAAAAAAAGAAATATAAAGTTTAGAGCTAAATTATGGGTACTTTTTCATTCCTCCATTGGATCCTTCAAGATTATTGAACATCTGTTATTTTAAAGGCTCTGAGCTGGATGCCAGGGGTATAAAGATGAAAGAACAGGATTCATATCTCAATGAGCTCCTAATCTAGTACAAGGAAGGGAGTTACAATGCATGGAACAAATAAAATATAGAAACCACCATGGCCCAATCTCCAGTCCCAGTCTACTTCTTGGGGTCATGGCAAACATATCTTTCTGAGGTCAGATACAGCTTCAGAAAGCTTTCAACATGGAGTTCCAGTTATACGCTATAATTAATTGGATTCTGCATTTAAAATGGAACCTGTTTGCTACTGCAATCTAGTAAAATGGCAGACATGGAGGCATATATGAGTGACAGTGGGTACAGGCATCATAGAGTTCCAGGGTCAGTCCTTAAAGAATGTCCAGACCAACAATCTCACTTTTCAAATGGGGAAAATTAAAGTCCAGAAATAAGTAGCAAAAGAGAATTAGGTCACAAACTCAGATTCCCTGTTCCCTTTCCACAGTATCACAGTTCTCTCTTACTGAAACGTCCTCTGCAGTAAAGTGGGCTTCTGATGGAGTCAAAAAAAAGAGCCTATGTCTGCAACTATCTGCAAAACCTTCCTAGGGGTGAGGAAGCTGATTGAGGTCAGGGTGAGAAGGCCCTTGGGGCTGCTTCCTAGACCCTGGTGCTGATCTGCTGACTTTTATGCCATTTCTTTTAATTAACATGTAAAAAAAAGACAGCTCTGTCAGCTCGTGCCAAGTCTTTTGCATCTTCAGCTTGACGCAGTGGGGCATGAACTTGAGATAATCTGTGAGTGAAAGTTCCCAGTGCTAAAATGGGAAGTATTAATGAGTGGAACCACCATGCATGCACTTTCCAGGATCCATTTTCCACGTAGACAGCTTTTGCCCAGTTGTAATAACTACTAACCAATCTATACTCCCTCATGGGTTAAGCAGGAAGGTCAGGAATCATAAAATCATCTATTTCCCACTCATAATATTCGAGTTTGGGCTCCTGGACTTGCCCCAGGCTGCATCACAGTGAGAACTTATTTATAACCAGGTTAGAAGGAGATCAATGGCCCAGACTATGTAGAAATACGGATTTGCATGCAGTTTTCTGAATGTCTGAATGAGACCATACATGCCAACATGATAGCTGTCAATTAACAAGAGAAATGTGGTAAAGAATGAGGACCAGGGTGAAGTGAGTGAGACCTTTGTTGCCAAGTTAAGGGGCTGCCAAAAAACTTAGTAATCAAGATAAATATTGCAGTATTTTTTTAAATTTTAAATATTGCAATATTTTTAACATTTTTGAAAAATATGACAATTTTTAAAAATCTCCTAACAAGGAGATGAACTGGGATTCAGATTCCCAATGATCTGTTCTTTCTATCACAACTTTCTGTCACAACATGGGAAGTAGAAGCCTTAAAAAGGAACATTCTTATACAAAAACTGGACATTTATAAGAACGCTAAATAGGAAAAAGATATGAAGCATAACGATAAGCAAGAAGTTTAGTCCCTTTATCATATAAATCCAAGAAATATATTGTATGCATTAAATTCCTCATTAAAATAAAGATATATAAAGCTCACACTTGTAATCCCAGCACTTTGGGAGGCTGAGGCAGGTGGATCACTTGAGGCCAGGAGTGAGACCAGCATGGCCAACATGATGAAACCCCATCTTTCCTAAAAAAAATACAAAAATTAGCTGGGTGTGGTATAATCCCAGCTACTTGGGGGGCTGAGGCAGAAGAACTGCTTAAACTAGGGAGGCAGAGGTTGTAGTGAGCCAAGACAGTGCCGCTGCACGCCAGCCTGGGTGACAGAGCAAGATTCTGTCACAAGATAAATAAAATAAAATAAAAAATATAAACAGACACCAACAAAACCAGTGTTTAAATTGGGAGAAATTAAGAAAGAACCATGAATATTGAGAAAAATCTCACAGATACAAAGATTTGGAAGACACTAAAATAAAAATAGGTGAATAATAGCTACTTCATCTGCAAAGGGAGGATAGTAATCTCTAATTCGGGTTGTTACAAGGGTCAAATGAAATAGTGAGTGCTAAAGTCCTGACCTATAGCAAAGAACCCATGCGGTTAACGGTTCTTAATATTTTTCTTTGTAATCAGACAGAACTGCGTTTAAATTCCATGTGTCATTCATGCATGATCTTAGGAGCGTTGATCCAAGTTAGGTTTTTTGTTTCTTCAAATCTACAAAATGGGGACAAAAGATAAGCATCTTAATTAAAAAAATTAAGTATCATAAATATCTGGCCAAGTGCCTAAAACACTGTGTATGTTTAGGAATTGGTGGTGGTAGTTGTTATCGTAATTGGGAAAGAAATTTGTTATTTCAAACAATACTGACAGCAACTGTTTTTGCTTTCTAAGGGGAGTGGTAGTGTGAGTCATATTCGAGGGAAAATAGATCTCAAAGCTATTCCAGTCCTCTTCCAGAAAACGATGAAGGAAGATAGAAGTCGTAAATTTCAAACTTGTCATGTTTTGTGAGTGGCTGAAGGGTGGCCAGGGGTAGATGGTCCTTTCTTTTATCAGAGATGTTAATGAGTTTTGGATACACAAAGAGAGTCAGGCAGTAGAAAATTTCTGCTTTGATTCAATATAACCTCAAAACTTACAGAATTACAACCATCATCCAGAGGCTTGTCTATAGGTACACTATACATCTGGATATTCCTAAATATCTGAATGGCTGACTGCATCTTTTGTACTTTTAACCAAATATTTGGGATTAATAACAGAAAATAGAGGACAGAATAATGACTTCAGGGAAGTTATCAGATTGAATGTCTATAATTGAAGCTTGGAAAAGCAACACCCGGATCTGCTATCTGATAGAAGAGCTGAGAGAAGTAAATGGCCTGTGAGCCAATAAGGAAGGCAGGTGTGATTGTGATGATGAGTGATTTTAGTCCCCCTAATTGTTGTCAGGAAACCTGTGAGACATCAGAGCCAGGAGAAGGGAATGACTGATGTCCAAATGATTTCTTGGAGCCATGTGTGAAAGACAGCCCACCGGGGATAATTCATTTCTGGATCTAGTGATACCTCATGTCTGGGACGTAAGTGAATAAGCAATAGTTCAGCCATTTGACCTAATATCCAGGATTGGACATAAATAGTATTATTTGGAATTCAAAATCAGTTACTAGTGAGACAGGCATCCTTGGCTAAATAAGGTGGCAATGTCATCTGGAATTATATGCAGACCTTTTTGAGCATCTCATAAAAAAAGAAAAAAATTCAGGCATTAACAATGCTGGCAGCAGCCAAGCTGTGACAGACAGTGATACCTTGGCTCAGACAACAACGCTAGTGAAGGAAAGGACTTAAATTATTACTACCAGGGCTCACAAACAAGGAGCCTGCATGATGAGTTACTCTTCAGGGGATAGGTTGTCTTTGGCATGCTCAGTGTCAAAACAAAAAGTTGTATATAAATCCCTTGGCATGCCTCTCCAGTTAACCAAGGCCTCCCCACCTTTCCCTTTTTTATGCCAGGTGCCTTTCCATGCTTTTTTTTTTTTAACATTACTGTGCCACTCAAAGGATTCCAGTTTGCAAGTCCTGAAGCTCATCTCTTGTTTTGCAGATGAGAAATCCAAAGTTCAGAGAATTGAATGTTACCACTTATCTCAGGTCAACCATATACCCAGAATGGGTCTGGATGACCCAATAAAGCATTTATTCAAATGATTTTTTGCACCTATTATGTGCCAGTACCACTTTTAGTTCCTAAGTTTATAAGGTAGACATAAAATCTCAATTTCTGGAATGTACAGTCTAGCAGGGGAAAAGTCCAGAAACGACATGATGCATGGTACATGGTCAATGGCCATTAGCTGCCTGAAATTTTGGGCCTTAGGAAAACAAAAAAATTTACTATATACCTTTTTTATTGTTGTTTTATTAGTTTGAGTTTCATGTCTTCGAGCTGTTGCTTCTCCCTGAGGCATATTTTAATTCCTTTGCCTTGCCACTTGTCTTAGTTTACGTGGGCTGCTATTACAAAATACCATTGACTAGGTGGAATATCAACAACAGACATTTATTGCTCACAGTTCTGGAGGCTGGGAAGTCCAAGATCAAGGCACCAGCAGATTTGGTATCTGGTGAGGGCCTTCTTTCTGGTTCATAGATGGCATCTTTTTGCTGCATTTTCACATGGCAGAAGGAACAAGGACCTCCTCTATAAAGACACTAATCCCCCTGAAGACTGGTCTGGCCTTTGGAAGGGGACGTAAGCCAAAGATCAGACGTTATGTCCCCTTCCAAAGCCACACCTCCATTGCATCCCTTTGGGGATTAGGATTTTAATATATAAACTTATGGGTGGGTTACACCATCATGCAGACCATTGAACCACTCTTTACTCCTCTATCTTTCAGCGTGAATATAATCCCCTTCAGAAAACTTCCCCCTTTACCTTTAAAGTAAGTCAGGAGTCCCAAAACATCCCATGCTTTTCTCTAGGATAGTATGTACCATAATGCGTTGATATTATCTATTTATTGGTTTGCCCTAATTATAAACCCAATATATTCCTTGAACATAAGAACCATTTTGTTGATTGCATTCCCTCACCACCAACACAATGTCTGGCACACAGTGAGAACTCAATAAGTATACACTAAGTGAATAATCAAAATTAACATGGTAAATGCTTTTGCCAACTTACTCGTTGTCACCTAAGTCACTAAGTCATTCCTTGGCTAACACATTCATGAGTCTGCACGAATTGTCAAAATACGCATTTGATGTTATCATTTCCTGAATTAAATCAGGTACTCTCTCTTTTCTCTTTTTGAGGCAAGGCCCCTAAGTTGCCCAGGCTGAGTGCAGTGGCACAGTCATAGCTCACTGCAGCCTCAACCTCCCAGGCTCAAGCACTCCTGGTACAACACCATGCCTGGATAATTTTTTATCTCCCTGTATTTCCCAGGCCAATCTCAAACTCATCGGGTCAAGTAATGTTCCTGACTTGGCCTCCCAAATTGCTGGGACTTCAGGTGTGAGCCACCATGCCTGGCCAGGGACTTTTTCTTAAGTAGGGAATTAAAGCATAATTCTATTTCTTGCCAAATGTGTTATGCTATAAAAGACAATGAAGCATTAATGAGTTTTTGGAAATGTGAATTCTGTAAACAATAATCATTTTGATACAAGAGCATAAAATAAAGAAAGGTATGAAGGTATAAGGATAACTTTCTAGGTAAGCACTTTACTATACACCTGCTGCATGCAGGTTTTGAAGATAAAGAAATAAAGTGAGGACAAACTTCTGTTCTCAAGAAATGCAGAGTCCAGTGAAAAATAAAAAGAATACAAAGGAGTTCTAAAGAAAGAAAGGATAAATGGTAGATTAGAGACACAAAAAGTAATGGGCACTCAAAAAGGCAGTTGAATAAATGAATGAATTTATCATGTGAACTTATTATGTCTGAACATCTGAGCTAAAAAGACAGCTACTAATGTTTTTCTGCAAACTGTAGTTTTCCAGAGGAAAATTAAAGGCATCACAACCAGTACTAATTGGGGCTTAAAAAGAAAAGTGAGGGGGAAAAAAGTAAAATTAAGTATTAATTAAATATCAAATATTTTACATATAAAATTTCATCTTATTCTATGAAAATGTCCCTGAGTCATTTTTCTGAGATGATTAAAAGACTGTTTATAAAACTTTGCCCACTGTCGCACTGCTTGCCACTGATGATAAAGTTGGAATCGGCATTCTGATCAGCTAGACCTCCCAGCCCTTATTCTGTCTAAAACAACAGGATTTCTTAAGTCCACCTGAGAAAACATGTACTTCAGAATTTCCTACAGGTTATTACAGCAATGGAAAATTGCCACCTTAGACCTAAGGAGTCCAAATTTCCAGAGCTTGAGTTTTGGAATCTGCATAAAAACAAGTCCCCACACGTGGTTGTACGTATGATCAGAAGAAATCCTTTTATTATATTGTATTTCCTCCTGGCTGAAGACTGAAAAGAGGATAATTTAGCCTAGCAGTGTATGTCTCTTATTAGGAGGTGAAAGAGACCAAGAGTTTATTCATCAAAACCATAAACAATTTATTATCTTTTTTTTTGCGATGGAATTTCGCTCTTGTTACCCAGGCTGGACATAGCAGCTACCTACCATTAGGCGTCTGCAGAACGATCAGAGAATCTATTAGCAACAAAGTTGCAAGACTCTCCTTTGCCCGCATGAGGAAGAAAAGACTCAAAAAAAAAAAAAAAAAAAAGCCAACTCGTTTCAGCTGGATGAAATAAAGGCGTCACTTCTATTTTTAGTCTTTTCATCCAGCTGAAACGAGTTGTATTACTGAACCAATGAAGTAAATTTGGGAAATCTCTCTAAGCCTGCCCCAAACTGGAGGTAAGCCAGACATCTATTAGCAAGTGAACAGACAGATTTACCCATTATGCGCATCTGCACAACTGAATACTAAGTTATGTACAAGAACGAACTATTGGCTGGGCACAGTGGCTCATGCGTATAACTTAGCACTTTGGGAGGCTGAGGTGGGTGGATCACCTGAGGTCAAATTAAGACCAGCCTGGCTAACATGGTGAAACCCCATCTCTACTAAAAATATAAAAATTAGCCAGCCTGGTCAACATGGTGAAACCCCGACTCTACTAAAAATACAAAAAATTAGCTGGGCATGGTGGTGCGTGCCTGTAATCCCAGCTACTTAGGAGGCTGAGGCAGGAGAATTGCCTGAACCCAGGAGGCGGAGGTTGCGGTGAGCCGAGATCGCGCCATTGCACTCCAGCCTGAGTAAAAAGAGTGAAACTCCGTCTCAAAAAAAAAAAAAAAAATTAGCCAGGTATGGTGGTGTGCATTTGTAATCCCAGCTACTCAGGAGGCTGAGGCGTGAGAATCGCTTGAACCTGGGAGGCGGAGGTTGCAGTGAGCTGAGATGGTGCCACTGCACTCCAGCCTGGGTGACAGTGAGACTCCGTTTCAACAACAACAACAAAAAGGATGGTCGTGGTGGCTCACGCCTGTAATCCTAGCACTTTGGGGAGGCCAAGGTGGGTAGATCACCTGAGCTCAGGAGTTCAAGACCAGGTCGGGCAACATGATAAAATGCTGTCTCTACTAAAAATGTAAAAAAATTAGCTGGGCAAGGCAGCTTGCACCTGTAGTTCCAGCTATTTGGGAGATGGAGGCAGGAGAATCAGTTGAGCCTGAGGGCAGAGGCTGCAGTGAACAGAGATTGTGCTACTGCACTCCAGCCTGGATGACAGAGTGAGAATTCATCTCTTAAAAAAAAAAAAAAAGAGGCTCGGGATGGTGGCTCATGCCTGTAATCCTAACACTTTGACACTGGGAAGCCGAGGTGGGTGGATCCCCTTAGATTGGGAATCCAGCCTGACCCAACATGGAGAAAGCCCATCTCTACTAAAAATACCAAAAAAAAAAAAAAAAAAAATTTTGTTTTTGAAGAGAAAAATGACAGAGTTCGTCAACACACCCTGGTAAAGTTAAGGGACTAGAAGGTAAAAAGAATGTGCTGTATAGGCAGAATGAAGGGGCACTGGAGCTAGAAGTGATCTTATGGAACACGGAGTCACAAAAGAGCAAGGAGATGCCATTTCTTGCTCAACTCCAGTCCACTGACAACAGTCACCTGGGGGGCTGCTTGTAGATAACTCAGTGGGAAAGAATGCCATGAGTGACTGTGGGTGTCTGCTGTGTGCATAAGAAGGAAGGGAAAGGCCCAGTATTTGAGATGCTTGAGATCTAACCCCTTCATTTTTCATATGACAAAATCTAGAGCCAGGGAGGTGAGCTAACCAGCTTCGGGGTCACACTGTGAGCTGGCAGTAGAATGTGGCAGGTGATCTGACTCTCAGAATAACATCTCTCTAAGCCAGGGGCTGGCCAAAAATGGACTGACATCCACATATGGCTCATGAGCTCAGCATGGATTTCATTTTTTAATTTTTTGGAGACACAGTCTTGCTCTATTGCCCAGGCTGGAGTGCAGTGGTATGACCTTGGCTCAGCACAACCTCCACTTCCCAGGTTGAATGATTCTCGTGCCTCAGCCTCCCAAGAAGCTGGGATGACTGTCATGCTTCACCTTGCCTAATTTTTTGTGGGGCACTCTTGCCCAGTCAGGAGTGCAGTGGCATGATCTTGGCTCACAGCAACTTCCGCCTCATGGGTTCAAGTGATCCTCCAGCCTCAGCCTCCTGAGTAGCTGTGACTACAGGTACACACCCCATGCCCAGCAAATTATTTTATTTTTAGTACAGACCAGGTTTCACCATGTTGGCCAAGCTGGTCTCAAACTTCTAGCCTGAAGCAACCCACCCGCCTCAGCCTCTCAAAGTGCTGAGATTACAGGCATGAGCCGTAGCACCCAGCCAGATTTCATATTTTTAATGGTGAAAAAAAAAAATCTAAACAATATTACATGACAGATGCTAGTTCTGTAAAATTTAAATTTTAGTGTTTCTAAATACATTTGTACAGGAACACAGTCACACCCATCGAGTTCTGTATTATCTAAGGCTACTTTTCCACTACTCGGGAAGAGACAGGTATTTGTGACAAACACCATATGGCCCAGAATGCTGCAAGTTTCCAGAAAAAAGTTTCTTACTCGCACTTTCTTCCAGTGTCTCTTGAACTTTAATATCCATACACACCACCTAGAGAACTAGTTACAATTCAAATTCTGTTTCAGTGGATCTGGGCTGAGGCCTAAAATTCTACACTGTTAATAAGTACCAGGTGATGCCATGGCTGCTGGTCCACGGACCACACTTTGAGTTGTGAGGATCAACTCCAGTGTGTCTCTACATGTCAACCTGAACCAGCAGCAGCAGTACCTGGGGATGTTAGGAATGCAGATACACAGGAACACCTAGACCTGCTAAACTGAAAATCTGAGTGGGGCCCAGAAAGCTGCATTTTATAGTAACAAGCTATCCGCCAACACAGTGGCTCATGCCTGTAATCCCAACAGTTTGGGAGGCTGAGGCAAGTGGATCACCTGAGGTCAGGAGTTTGAGACCAGCCTGGCCAATATGGTGAAACATCATCTCTACTAAAAATATTTTTTAAATTAGCCAGGTGTGGCATTGCATGCCTGTAATCCCAGCTACTCAAAGGCTAAGGTGGAAGAATCGGTTGAACCCAGGAGGCGGAGGATGCAATGAGCCAAGATCACATCACAGCACTCTAGCCTGGGAAACAGAGTGAGACTCCATCTCAATCAACCAACCAACCAACCAAATATATTAAGCTATCCAGGTTATTCTGATGCAGGCTTGAATTTGAACACCGTCTCTTCTGCAGGTCCAGACTCTGAGAGATTTAAGGTAAGACTAAGAAAATTCAGTGTCAGCATTAGCACGCTTTCACAAATGCTGAAAAGGCTAGAATTTCCTTAAACATTCCACCTGCAACTCAGCTGACATGAAGCAGGTGGTAGTTTAACAAATAAGTTTTGTATTTATAAAAATGTTTAACACCGCTTCACAGAAAAATTCATCAACCTTACCAAGAAGGAATAGTTGTAAGGAGCACATTATAAAAAGAATGACACAGTTAATAATAAAAAGACAGAAAAGACATGGGGCATCATCTGAAGTCATCCTTCACCATTAACTGTTTTTAACTGTGCTTTAAAGGGAATTTCCATAGTCCATCTCTATATGGTCTCCTGATATGGGGCCAGCTTTGCAAAATGGTATGTTGTACTGTCTTTTTTTTTAAGATGGAGTTTCGCTCTTGTTGCCCCGGCTGGAATGCAATGGTGTGATCTCAGCTCACTGCAACATTCGCCTCCTGGGTTCTAGTGATTCTCCTGCCTCAGCCTCCTGAGTTGCTGTGATTACAGACATGAGCCACCACACCCGGCTAAGTTTGTGTTTTTAGAAGAGATGAGGTTTCATCATTTTGGTCAGGCTTTATCTTGAACTCCTGACCTCAGGTGATCCACCCGCCTCTGCCTCCCAAAGTGCTGGGATTACAGGTGTGAGCCACTGTGCCTGGCCTGCACTGTTGTCTTTAAACTTTTCAAAGCCAGCTAGGCAGGGATAGACCTGTCACCGTATCCCAGGACAGGCATCAGAATACTCAGTGTAGCATGGATCCTGATAGTAAAAAACAGGGAACAACCTGTTTTTGCAATGAATGGGAGGAAGGTAATTCCAGCAGGGCACATCCACATGCAGACAGGCATATATCTTGAACACAAATGAGGCAAGCCAGGCAAGGCTGTGGTGCACCTGCAGTCCCAGCTACTTGGGAAGCTAAAGCAAGAGGACTGCTTGAGCCCAGGAGTTCAAGGCTGTAGTGAGCTGTGATCACACTACTATACTCCAGCCTAGGGGACAGAGTGTGAACCCATTTCAAAACCAAAACTAAAAAAAAAAAAAAACAAAACAGATCAGAATGGACCCAGATGATATACTATTAACTGCACAAAGAGAACTCTATGTACAGTTTGATCCCATTTAAATCAGCCAGAGTATTTTTTAAAAGCCTATAAGCTTATATATTTTTTTCTAAAAGCATGCACAAAACTGTCACTTTGGAGGAGAGGAACTGATGGAAGAGAAGACAATATACTTTTATATCTTTCTGATTTTTTTTTCCTACAGTGGATGACAAGTATTCGTTCAGCACCTGCTGTGCATTGTTTTATGTACTGAGGATACAGCAGCCCACCTGGAGCTGACATTCTAGTGGGGAAAAAAAGTAAGTGTACTTTTAAAAATTCTTACTTTAAATTTTTTCCTTTTTTGAGAAAGGGTCTCACTCTGTTGCCCAGGCTAGAGTGCATTGGCTCAATTTTGGCTCACTGCAACCTCTGCCTCCCAGGTTCAAAGGATTCTTATGTCTCAGCCTCCTGAGTAGCTGGGATTATAGGCATGCATCACAATGCCCAGCTAATTTTTTTTTTTAAAGCAAACACAGGGTTTTGCCAGGTTGGCCAGACTTGTCTTGAGCTCCTGGCCATAAGTGATCCACCTACCTCGGATTTCCAAAGTGCTGGGATTACCGGTGTGAGCCACCATACCCAGCCCCAAAGAAGTAAATTTTAGAGTGTGTTTTTTTACACGCCATATCTGTGGTCTAACCACACTTGATATGTGGTCCATAGGACACTGACAATCCACACTTTGTGACAAGTTGGTGATCATATGAGGAGGCAGCACCATAATGGAGATGAACTATGGCACCAATGTGCCATTCAGCTCAGCTCACATTTTTGTTTTCTTACAAGGAAAACAAAACATTTTTGCTTTCTTAATGCAGGAAGCAGAAGGCACTGGTTTCCATCCTGGCACAAATGCCTTAGCCTGCCATGTTGGCCAGGCTGGTCTCAAACTCTTGGCCTCAAGTGATCTTCCCTCTTTGGCCCTGAAAGTGCTGGCATTACAGGTGTGAGCCACCGTGCCACACTGCCACCTGCTCATTTATAGAGCTCTCTGTGATTCACTTGCAACCAAGATTGAGAATCCCTGGTGCAGAATGCCTCCCTGAGTCCAGGAATGATATGCAGCCCCCGCTTCCCTTCCAGGCATGTCTGTGTCTCCCTGTGGTTGTTTCTGTGAGACCCTGCATTTTCGAGTTTTGCTTTTATTTGTGTCACCTGAGCATGTTCCCACAGTCACCCTGACCATGCTGCTGGCTGCATATTTATTCCTTTTGTATCTTTCATCCTGGGTTTTCTCCCACCTCTTTGGGGGTCAGTCTTTTCTTGCCTTACATTGTGCTGCTTTCTCTCCTGGCACCAAAGAATGAGGCAACCAGTGCAGAGTGGGAGCTGCAGTCATCCTCATCATCACTAAGGTATTATGAACCTGGAAAGAGAGATGATCTGTTTCAACACAGCACACTCCCCAAGCACCCTTGATAAATGTTGGCTGTCATTGTCATTGTTGATGTTCTGGTGATTATTGCTGATGCTAGGTAGATTCTTCCTGGGATCAGGGGAGATACCTAGCTGTCCTGTCCCTTGGTGTCCTTATCAGGGTCCTTCCCTAATTCTGCAGCTAAGGCATCTGCCAGGGCTGGGGTCTCATCTGAAGATTCAACTGGGGAAGGGCCCACTTCAAAGCTCACCTGGTTGTTGGCAGAACTAGGTCCCTCAATTTTTCAAATGTTGAAATACTTCCTTATTACTGTGGAAACAGCCAGTGCCCCAGGTACCTTTTACAATGAACTCTTGAGAACTCTCTATGATCTGGGCACTAAAGGGTTAATTCCTGGCACTACAGGGGTCCGTGGGCCTCTGCCTGTTGGATGATGCCCTTGTCAAACTGGTTATCTATTTTGAATATCACCTCTTCTTGCCTCGCTTGGGAACCAGGGGCCTTTGCCATTTCCCTTTTGCAGTTCCTTGCATCCTCATCCTGGGAAAGTTAGCTTAACACAGCAGAGATACTGTTAATCTGGGCTGGGTTTTACCCATTGCTGCTGGTACACGATGCTGGCTTGGCCCCAGTGCCCTCAGTGGATGGTGCTCTCTGCACAGCTACAAATGACCGTTCCTGCCCCAAGGGACTGAACTCCAGATACCACCTGCCCCTCAACCAGACAGCCTGTTTATGGCGTCTGCAGTGCTGGTCTACTTTCTGAGCATCCTGTCTGCCTGGTGCTCTGTTGTATCCTCCCTGCAGTGGCCAGTTTTTTTTTGTCCTTGGTTTTAGCATCTGGCTCATATAACTCCCTTCCCCTCCTTTGTCTCATTTTGCCAGGGGTCACGGGTATCAGCGGTCCAGGGAAGGAAGCAAAACAAATAGAGAATGGCTGTGACATTGCAGGGAAGCAACTACAGAGGTAAGTGGGGGGAGGTGGCATGACTCACACAGGCCTCATGATTTCACCATCTGCTCATGCTTCTGACACTCTAGTTCCCTACATGGCATGGGTCTTTGTTTATGTCACTCGAGAGGGGTCTGGAAGGTTCAATTTTTGTGAAGCAGCATTCGATATAAAACTATCTCAAGGCCAGAAATGGAGGCTCACGCTTGTAATCTCAGCACTTTGGGAGGTTGTGGCAGGATCACTTGAGGCCAGGAGTTTGAGACCACCATGGGCAACATAGCAAGACCCCATCTCTACAAAAAAGGAAATATCCTCGTGTTTGATTATAGAGGGCTTCCTAAGATCTCTGGGGATTTATAGCATATGCAGTATGTTAACCATGCTTTTAAAAACTAGCTAAGTCGGCTGGGCATGGTGGCTTACACCTATAATGCCAGCACTTTTGGAGGCTGAGGTGGGTGGATCACCTGAGGACAGGAGTTCAAGACCAGTCTGACCAGGTGAGCCCTGTCTTTACTAAAGATAGAAAGATTAGCCTGGCATGGTGACAGGCACCTGTAAATTCTAGCTACTCAGAAGGCTGAGGCATGAGAATCGTTTGAATCCAGGAGGCAGAGGTTGCAATGAGCTGAGATTGCGCCATGGCACTCCAGCCTGGACAACAGAGTGAGACTCTATCTCAAAAAAAAAAAAAAAAAAAAAGCAAAAGAACAACAGCAAATATTGACAAGTCAGAGCCTAAACATACTGGACCCTGGGATTTGAGAAAGGATGGTGGACTTGCAGTTGCTATAGGGGTAAGAAGAGGGCAAAGATGATGTGGCCTAGCACTGTGCCTTGGTACATGTTGCTTTTGCCATTATCATCTTACATAGCCTGCATTCTAGTGGGAGATTCCAGACAGTGCATGAGCGCAGAAGGATGTAAGATTTTCATCTGAGGTGCTAGCTTGGATTTGTGAAGCCCTAGATCATGAAGCAGGAAGCCCCAGCACCCCACCTGAATTCTAGATTTCATCCAGAGTTGGTTCTGATTCTTCCCTCTGCTGCTGCCTGAAAACCCACACTTGCTTTTGGATTTGATGGCCACTTCCACCTCACTTTGCCTTAACCAAAGACCTTTGCACAGACCTCATGAGCAAGGAAAGGTTACCCACCCCCAGGCCCTAGATCAAAGAGGGGAGGTGCTGTAGGTTTATTTGGCCTTCAGGAAGTGTTTTCAGGGGACACAGTTTGGGGGTGCAGTGACGAATCACATGGGGCTCTTGACCTCAGGTAGTGTGTAATCTTGTTCAGGAGATAAGTAGGTAGAGGAAGGCATAGAAAGTTCCATGGCAAGGAGCCACATCTGTTTTGCATGGCCTCCATAATTTCTTTTTTCTTTTTTTGAGATGAAGTCTCCCTCTGTTGTGCAGGCTGGAGTTCAGTGTGCAGTGGCACCAACTCAGCCACTGAGCACAAAACTGTGGGCAATGCAGTCTGTGATGTTCTCTGGTGTCTGCATAAAGATAATGACTACTGATGTACAGAAAGTCTTTTTTTTTTTTAAATTTTTTATTGCATTTTAGGTTTGGGGGTACATGTGCAGAACATGCAAGACAGTTGCATAGGTACACACGGCAGTGTGTTTTGCTTCCTTTCTCCCCTTCACCCACATTTGGCATTTCTCCCCAGGCTATCCCTCCCCAGCTCCCCCCCTGCTGGCCCTCCCCTTTTCCCTCCAATAGACCCCAGTGTTTTGTACTCCCCTCCCTGTGTCCATGTGTTCTCATTTTTTATCACCCGCCTATGAGTGAGAATATGCGGTGTTTCATTTTCTGTTCTTGTGTCAGTTTGCTGAGAATAATGTTCTCCAGATTCATCCATGTCCCTACAAACAACACGAACTCATCATTTCTGATTGCTGCATAATATTCCATAGCGTATATGTGCCACATTTTCCCAATCCAGTCTATCATCAATGGGCATTTGGGTTGATTCAAGGTCTTTGCTATTGTAAACAGTGCTGCAGTGAACATTCGTGTGCATGTGTCCTTATAGTAGAACGATTTATAGTCCTTTGGATATATACCCAGTAATGGGATTGCTGGGTCAAATGGAATTTCTATTTCTAAGGCCTTGAGGAATCGCCACACTGTCTTCCACAATGGTTGGACTAATTTACACTCCCACCAACAGTGTAAGAGTGTTCCTTTTTCTCCACATCCTCTCCAGCATCTGTTGTCTCCAGATTATTTAATGATCACCATTCTAACTGGCGTGAGATGGTATCTCAATGTGGTTTTGATTTGCATCTCTCTGATGACCAGTGACGATGAGCATTTTTTCATATGATTGTTGGCCTCATATATGTCTTCAGAAAGTCCTTTCTTTTTTCTTTTGAGACAGGGTCTCACTCTTGCTGAGGCTGGAGTGCAGTGACACAATTATGGCTCACTGCAACTTCTGTATCCTGGATTCAAGTGATTCTTCTGCCTCAACCTCCCTAGTGGTTGGGACTACAGGTGCCTGCCACCATGCCTGCCTAATTTTTGTATTTTTAGTAGATACAGGGTTTCACCATGTTGGCTGGGCTGTTCTTGAACTCCTGGCCACCAGTTATCTGCCCGCCTTGGCCTCCCAAAGTGCTAGGTTTACAGGTGCAATCCACCGTACCCAGCCAAAAGATGCTTTCTGAGTAACATGCTTGCATGAAGGAGCAGCCAGGACAAGATCCCACCTCAACCCCCACCACCTTTATAAAACAAGAAAATTGAAAGAACTAGGTACCTTGCCCTATTTTTTCATCATGTTTCATATTTTGAAACATTTTCATGTTTGAAAGATGATCTAAGATGTGCCCTTTCTGTTTTATACTTTGAGATCAATTAGAATTGCTCTAAAAAAAAAAAACAAAACACATGCACTTTTTGCATATCAGTAGTCATGGGCTTTTTGCAAACCCCCAAAGATCATCACAGATTGTGTTTTCCACAGGCCTCATTCTTGCCTGAGACATTCCCTTTCTCTGGGGATGTGTAAACCTGGGGAATGGCATGGCAGTGGGGAGGCACATGTTCATATATATGTTTACATGTGTGCCTGTGCAATTGACATCCTTGTGCTTTCCTTCTCCAGACAGCTCAGCAGCACCTCCTATAGCGGGAATATCAGTAGGCACCACAATAGCACCGCAGAGCTGCAGAAAGCCAAAAACAAAAAGGAGGAGACTTGGAAGCTGATGGAGGCTGACAAGGCACAAACAGGGCAGGTGAGATTTGCTCCTTCAGTGATGACAGTGGTTGCAGCTTACAGAGCACCCACTGTGCAAAGTGCTTGTCTATAATACACTGTAAAGGTACTATTTATTGCACCAGAAACTGAGGCCAAAGAGATTTAGTGACTTACCCAAGGTCACTGCTTTTCGGGGATACAGACCCTACTGTGCCCAGCTAATTTTTGTCTTTTTAGTAGAAATAGGATTTCACCATGTTGGCCAGGCTGGTCTTGAACTCCTGGGCTCATCTTTCCTCACCCTCCCAAAATACTGGGATTACAGGTGTGAGCCATTGCACCTGGCCTGTTTTTTATTTCTCATTTAGTCCTTATGATTATGTCCCTGAGAAAGTCTCAGTTGGGTCCTAGCCTGCTTTCAGTACCTAACAGCTGCTAGCCTCTCTCTGTAACAAGGAGAGTGGGTTTTGAGCTCCTATTTTTTTTATTTTTTAAAGATCATCTATTTTGGGCAAGTGTTAATAATTCTCCGTGTATGGTAGTGATCCAAAGTTTATTTTTAAAAATAAATGATTATGTTTTTTAAAAAATAGGGAATGGAATTTTTAACGTTGGTAAAAAATAAGCATACAGATAAAGAAAAACAATGACAACAAAAAACCCATGAAAAATGGTAGTGGGGGAATGAGGCTGGGACACTTTCTTTTATATCTGCTCTGTTGTCATAATTAAAAGAACTAGAGGAGCAAGATAAAACAAATTCAAAAGCTAGCAGAAGACAAGAAATAACTAAGTTCAGTGCAGAACTGAAGGAGGTAGAGACACAAAAAACCCTTTAAAAAAAAAATCAATGTGCCCAGGAGGTGGTTTTTGGAAAGGATCAACAAAATAGACCACTAGTCAGACTAATAAAAAAGAAAAGGAAGAATAGATGCAATAAAAAGTGAGAAAGGGGATCTTACCACTGATCCCACAGAAATACAAACTACCATCAGAGATTACTACAAACACTTCTTGCAAGTAAACCAGTAAATCTAGATGATATGGATAAATTTCTAGACACGTATACCCCCCAAGACTAAACCAGGAAGAAGTTAAATCCCTGAATAGATGGATAACAAGGTCTGAAATTAAGGCAGCAATTAATAGCCTACCAAACAAAAATCCAGGACCAGATGGGTTCATAGCCAAATTTTACCATAGGTAAAAAGGAGCTGGTACCATTCCTTCTGAAACCATTCAAAACAATACAAAAAGAGCAAATCCTACCTAACTCATTTATGAAACCAACATCATCCTGATACCAAAACCTGGCAGAGATACAACTGAAAAAGAAAATTTCAGGCTTATATCCATGATGACCATTAATGGGAAAATCTTCAATAAAATACTCACAAACTGAATCCAACAGCATATCAAGAAGCTCCATCATGATCCAGTAAGCTTCATCCCCGAAATGCAAGGCTGGTTCAATGTATGCAAATCTATAAGCATAATCTATCACATAAACAGAACCAAGACAAAAACCACGATTATCTCAATAGATGCAGAGAATGCCTTTGACAAAATTCAACTGCCCATTATGCTAAAAAATCTCACAAAACTAGATATTAATGGGAGGTATCTCAAGATAAGAGCTACTTATGGTAAACCCACAGACAATAACATAGTGTTTAGGCAAAAACTGGAAGCACTCCCTTTGAAAAACCAACACAAGACAAGGATGCTCTCTCTCACCACTCCTACTCAACATAGCATTAGAGGTTCAGGTCAGGGAAATCAGGCAAGAAAAAGAAATCAAGGGTATTCAACTAGGCAAAGAGGAAGTCAAATTGTCTCTATTTGCAGATGACATGATTGTATATTTAGAAGACCCCAGCATCTCAGCCCAAAATCTCCTTAAGCTGATAAGCAAATTCAGCAAAGTCTAAGAATACACAATCAGTGTGCAAAAGTCACACGCATTCGTGTATGCCACCAACAGACAGCCAAATCATGAGTGAACTCCCATTCACAATTACTATAAAGAGAGTAAAATATCTAGGAATACATCTAACAAGGGATGAAAGGATCTCTTGAAGGAGAATTACAAACCACTGCTCAAATAAGAGAGGAAGCAAACAGATGGAAAAACATTCCATGCTTATGGTTAGGAAGAATCAATATTGTGAAAATGGCCATACTGCCCCAAATAATTTATACATTCAATGTTAACCCATCAAGCTACCATTGACTTTCTTCACAAAATTGGAAAAAACTACCTTAAACTTCATATATAACCAAAAGAGAGCCTCTGTGGCCAAGACAATCCTAAGCAAACAAACAAACAAACAATAACAACAACAACAACAACAACAACAAAAAGCTAGAGGCATCATGCTACCTGACTTCAAACTATACTACAAGGCTAGAGTAATCAAAACAACATGGTTCTGATATCAAAACAGAGATATAGACCAGTGGAATAGAAGAGAGGCCTCAGAAATAATACCACACATCTACAACCATCTGATCTTTGACATATTTGACAAAAACAAGCAATGGGGAAAGGATTCCCTATTCAATAAATGGTGTTGGAGAAACTGGCTAGCCATCTGCAGAAAGCTGAAACTGCATCCCTTCCTTACACCTTATACACAAATTAACTCCAATTGGATTAAATATTTAAACAGAAGACCTAACACCATAAAAACCCTAGAAGAAAATCTAGGCAATACCATTCTGGACACAGGCATAGGCAAGAACTTCATGACTAAAACACCAAAAGCAATGGCAACAAAAGCCAAAATAGACAAATGGGATCTAATTAAACTTAAGAGCTTCTGCACAGCAAAAGAAATAATCATTAGAGTGAACTGGCAACCAACAGAATGGGAAAAAAATTTTGCAATCTATCCATATGACAAAGGGCTAATATCCAGAATCTAGAAAGAAATTAAACAAATTTACAAGAGAAAACAACCCCATCAAAAAGTGGGCAAAGGATATGACATTTATGCAGCCAACAAACATGATCAAAAGCTCATCATCACTGGTCATTAGAGAAATGCAAATCAAAATCACATTGAGATACCATCTCATGCCAGTTAGAATGATGATCGTTAAAAAAATCAGGAGACAACAGATGCTGGAGAGGATGTGGAGAAATAGGAATGCTTTTACACTGTTGGCAGGAGTGTAAATTAGTTCCACCACTGTGGAAGACAGTGTGGCAATTCCTCAAGGATATAGAACTAGAAATACCATTTGACCCAGATATCCCATTACTGGGTATATACCCAAAGGATTATAAATCGTTCTGTTATAAAGACACCTGCATACACATGTTTATTGTGACACTGTTTACAATAGCAAAGACTTGGAACCCACCCAAATGCCCATCAATGATAGACTGGATAAAGTAAATGTGGCACATATATACCATGGAATACTATGCAGTCATAAAAAAGGATGAGTTCATGTCTTTTTTAGAGATATGGATTTAACTGGAAACCATCATTCTCAGAAAACTGACACAAGAACAGAAAACCAAACACTGCATGTTCTCACTTATAAGTGGGTGTTTAACAATAAGAAGACAGGGACATCGGGAAGGGAACATCACACACCAGGGCCTGTCAGGAGGAGTAGGGGGTAAGGGAGAGATAGCAGGGCGTGGAGGGATTGGGGAGGGATAACATTAGGAAAAATATTTAATCTAGATGATGGGGATGGATGCAGCAAACACCATAGCACGCGTATACCTATGTAACAAACCTACACGTTCTACATATGTACCCTAGAACTTAGTGTAATTATTAAAAATAAATAAATAAATCATGAGATGCAATCTTGTTATATTTCCCAGGTGGTTCTCAAACTCCTGGGCTCAGGCAACCTCAAACTCCCAAGTAGCTGGGACTATAGGTGTATATCACAATACCCAGCAATTTTTTTCTACAATTTTAAATATTTGACTCTCATTACAGAACCAATAATATAAGTAGAGGAACAATCCTACCAAGTATATAATACCCAAATAATAAGTGTTTTAAGAAAAACATCTATATGCTATTTGTTGTACAGTTTTTCAACTAAAAGGTGCCAGGGAGATTCTGTCATTACCACAAGTAATTTGATCAACTGAAGATTTATACTGGCAAAAATATAGATGTCACACTAGTATGATTTAAAAGTCAAAGTATTAATATTTATCTAATTAAACCTTAACCAAATTTCATATTTTCTCTATTGGGGAAAGCATTTCCTAATGTGATTTTTCTGTTGCTGTGTATCCAGTTCATTTTTGTTCAGCCCCCATGCTGTCACAGTACTCATCAATATTTTGTTAGTTACCAACATTAAATAAAATTTTTAAATCAACTAGCCATATGTCTATGGCTTTCTCTGACCAACTTTGTATTACCAACATAAAAAAAGATAGATAAACCACTGCTAAATTTTAAAAGTAAATAACATGCCAAAGTTGACTGAGTGAGAACATTTTGCAAGAGACCACTTTACCTTGGTAATAAGTCAAGTCTTCATCATCTGGTTTAGGGCATGAATCCACACACAGTTAGAGGAAAATGCTTTAGAGCAAAAATATACAATAAAAATGAGCAAGTTGATTTTTTATTTTTATTGTATAATTTTTAAACTGCCAGTTCATATACAGCTTCCCCCTCCAAAAAACAAAAACACATTCTGGGAAAAGATTAGTCACATGCCTGTATATTAAATAACATTTCTTGATACAATTAAAATATGGTCTCTGTTCTAAAAATAGATTTTGGTTACCTATTTCTTCCTCCAGCTGTCTAAATCTGTAAAATAGTCAATGAAAACTGACCTTGAGCTCCATACCAAATAGTGAGAGTCAATATATTATAATTTACCATCACAAATTATCTGTCCTGAAGCAGAATGTAAATTCAATTAATGGATGACATAACTTTTGTCACCTAAACTGAAAGGAACCTTATGCCCTAAAACAAGGTAGAAAGATCCACTGTCCCTTGTCCATTATTTATCTCTGGTTAAAAGACTAATCTGTGT